ATGAAAAAACACTTTTGTATCATGTTCACTCTACACCGCGGGCTTTCCTCTCTCCCCTTTGTAGAGACAGATCTGGAATTGCAGAAGATAATTGCATTATGCTTGTGCTTAATTATATATTACACTGAAGACAAAGATGGAAGCGGGCTAAATGATAGTTGATTAGACGTCTCACTCGCCAGGCAGTGATTTGTCGAGGGGTTTGTCTGAATATTCTCCGAGTGTGTGAGAAAGCTCCGGACTGGTTTTGATTCTGAAACTCTTGAGTCCGGGATGCGGCTGTTACCCACCGCAGCGAGGAGGTATTGGCACCGAATCACTAATACAGTCGCTGGATGTGAATAATTTGTTTTCTCAGCAGTCTCGGCGTGCCAACCTGGCGCCCGCACGGCTTCCAGCTCCGTCCAAATTGCGAAATAAAATGGACTCTTGATGGTCTACGACTTCCTTCTCTCGTGATGCTCCTATCTCTGCTAATAATGATAATAATGAATCATGTTTATACAGCGCTTTTTGGGGACTCACAAAGACGCTTTACAAGACAAACAGAATACACATTGGAGAAGAGAAAGGGAAAGGGACACTGGTGGGTTTTCAGAGGGGGTTCAGAAGGCTCGGTCCTCAAGGGTCAGACTCGGTCCTCAGGGTTCAGACTCGGTCCTCAGAAGGTTCGGTTCTAAGGGTTCGGAAGGCTCGGTCCTCAGGGTTCAGACTCGGTTCTAAGGTTTCAGGCTCGGTCCTCAGGGTTCAGACTCGGTCCTCAGAAGGTTCGGTTCTAAGGGTTCAGGCTCGGTCCTCAGGGTTCAGACTCGGTCCTCAGAAGGTTCGGTTCTAAGGGTTCGGAAGGCTCGGTCCTCAGGGTTCAGAAGACTCGGCCCTCGAGGTTCAGAAGACTCAGTCCTCATGGTTCAGAAGGCTCGGTGCTCAATATTCAGACTCAGTCCTCAGAAAGTTCGGTTCTAAGGGTTCGGAAGGCTTGGTCCTCAAGGTTCAGACTCGGTCCTCAGGGTTCAGAAGGCTCGGTTCTAAGGGTTCAGGCTCGGTCCTCAGGGTTCAGAAGGCTCGGTTCTAAGGGTTCAGAAGACTCGGTCCTCAAGGTTCAGAAGGCTCGGTCCTCAACATTCAGGCTCGGCCCTCAGACGGTTCGGTTCTCAAGGTTCAGACGGCTCGGTCCTCAGGGTTCAGACTCGGTCCTCAGGGTTCAGACTCAGTCCTCAGGGTTCAGACTCGGTCCTCAGGGTTCAGACTCGGTCCTCAGGGTTCAGACTCGGTCCTCAGGGTTCAGACTCGGTGGTTCAGACTCGGTCCTCAAGGTTCAGAAGGCTCGGTCCTCAGGGTTCAGACTCGGTTCTAAGGTTTCAGGCTCGGTCCTCAGGGTTCAGACTCGGTCCTCAGAAGGTTCGGTTCTAAGGGTTCAGGCTCGGTCCTCAGGGTTCAGACTCGGTCCTCAGAAGTTTCGGTTCTAAGGGTTCAGAAGACTCGGCCCTCGAGGTTCAGAAGACTCAGTCCTCATGGTTCAGAAGGCTCGGTGCTCAAGATTCAGACTCAATCCTCAGAAAGTTCGGTTCTAAGGGTTCGGAAGGCTTGGTCCTCAAGGTTCAGACTCGGTCCTCAGGGTTCAGAAGGCTCGGTTCTAAGGGTTCAGGCTCGGTCCTCAGGGTTCAGGCTCGGTCCTCAGGGTTCAGAAGGCTCGGTTCTAAGGGTTCAGAAGACTCGGTCCTCAAGGTTCAGAAGGCTCGGTCCTCAACATTCAGACTCGGCCCTCAGACGGTTCGGTTCTCAAGGTTCAGACGGCTCGGTCCTCAGGGTTCAGACTCGGTTCTAAGGGTTCAGACTCAGTCCTCAGGGTTCAGACTCGGTCCTCAGGGTTCAGACTCGGTCCTCAGGGTTCAGACTCGGTGGTTCAGACTCGGCCCTCAGGGTTCAGAAGGCTCGGTCCTCAGGGTTCAGACTCGGTCCTCATGGTTCAGACTCGGTCCTCAGGGTTCAGACTCGGTCCTCAGGATTCAGACTCGGTCCTCAGGGTTCAGAAGGCTCGGTCCTCAAGGGTCAGACTCGGTCCTCAGGGTTCAGACTCGGTCCTCAGAAGGTTCGGTTCTAAGGGTTCGGAAGGCTCGGTCCTCAGGGTTCAGACTCGGTTCTAAGGTTTCAGGCTCGGTCCTCAGGGTTCAGACTCGGTCCTCAGAAGGTTCGGTTCTAAGGGTTCAGACTCGGTCCTCAGGGTTCAGACTCGGTCCTCAGAAGGTTCGGTTCTAAGGGTTCGGAAGGCTCGGTCCTCAGGGTTCAGAAGACTCGGCCCTCGAGGTTCAGAAGACTCAGTCCTCATGGTACAGAAGGCTCGGTGCTCAAGATTCAGACTCAGTCCTCAGAAAGTTCGGTTCTAAGGGTTCGGAAGGCTTGGTCCTCAAGGTTCAGACTCGGTCCTCAGGGTTCAGAAGGCTCGGTTCTAAGGGTTCAGGCTCGGTCCTCAGGGTTCAGGCTCGGTTCTCAGGGTTCAGAAGGCTCGGTTCTAAGGGTTCAGAAGACTCGGTCCTCAAGGTTCAGAAGGCTCGGTCCTCAACATTCAGACTCGGCCCTCAGACGGTTCGGTTCTCAAGGTTCAGACGGCTCGGTCCTCAGGGTTCAGACTCGGTCCTCAGGGTTCAGACTCAGTCCTCAGGGTTAAGACTCGGTCCTCAGGGTTCAGACTCGGTCCTCAGGGTTCAGACTCGGTGGTTCAGACTCGGTCCTCAGGGTTCAGAAGGCTCGGTCCTCAGGGTTCAGACTCGGTCCTCAAGGTTCAGACTCGGTCCTCAGGGTTCAGACTCGGTCCTCAGGGTTCAGAAGGCTCAGTCCTCAAGGGTCAGACTCGGTCCTCAGGGTTCAGACTCGGTCCTCAGAAGGTTCGGTTCTAAGGGTTCGGAAGGCTCGGTCCTCAGGGTTCAGACTCGGTTCTAAGGTTTCAGGCTCGGTCCTCAGGGTTCAGACTCGGTTCTAAGGTTTCAGGCTCGGTCCTCAGGGTTCAGACTCGGTCCTCAGAAGGTTCGGTTCTTAGGGTTCAGGCTCGGTCCTCAGGGTTCAGACTCGGTCCTCAGAAGGTTCGGTTCTAAGGGTTCGGAAGGCTCGGTCCTCAGGGTTCAGAAGACTCGGCCCTCGAGGTTCAGAAGACTCAGTCCTCATGGTTCAGAAGGCTCGGTGCTCAAGATTCAGACTCAGTCCTCAGAAAGTTCGGTTCTAAGGGTTCGGAAGACTTGGTCCTCAAGGTTCAGACTCGGTCCTCAGGGTTCAGAAGGCTCGGTTCTAAGGGTTCAGGCTCGGTCCTCAGGGTTCAGGCTCGGTCCTCAGGGTTCAGAAGGCTCGGTTCTAAGGGTTCAGAAGACTCGGTCCTCAAGGTTCAGAAGGCCCGGTCCTCAACATTCAGACTCGGCCCTCAGACGGTTCGGTTCTCAAGGTTCAGACGGCTCGGTCCTCAGGGTTCAGACTCGGTCCTCAGGGTTCAGACTCAGTCCTCAGGGTTCAGACTCGGTCCTCAGGGTTCAGACTCGGTCCTCAGGGTTCAGACTTGGTCCTCAGGGTTCAGACTCGGTGGTTCAGACTCGGTCCTCAAGGTTCAGAAGGCTCGGTCCTCAGGGTTCAGACTCGGTCCTCAAGGTTCAGACTCGGTCCTCAGGGTTCAGAAAGAGCCAGTGCAGTTGTTTGAGGACAGGGGTGATGTGCTCTCTGGGAGTGGGCAGACTTCTGGATGTATTGGGACACCGTGGAGGAGGCTATTGCAGTAGTGGAGTCTGGAGGTGAACGGGTTTTTCAGCAGTGGACTGTGAGAGCGACGGGAGGAGGCGGACATTTTTTGCGAAGGTGGACAAACAATATTTTATAGATGATGTTTGTTGTTTGTTAAAAATGTTGACTTCTATATTTGAATTTAGGTTGCAATGGACGTCCTTCTCTCTTATACTGCTAATACTGCTATATTTAAAATTAGGTTTGAGTAAGCGGGTAATTGTTTAGACAGATCAGCCCACAGTAGATGCTTTGGTAGAAAAAGCTGAAATGCAGATTTAACACAAAAAGCCGGCGGAAGCTTACAAGCCCCGTCGGTATCAGACAGGAGGATGATTTGTGTTTCAGTCAGATTTGGGCTTGAATCAGAATGCTGAGAGTGCGTTGCCTGGAACAAGATGCACGGCTCTCTTCACAAACACAAAGAGAAATCTCGTATGGTTTTGAAGAGGCTGTCCCAGAATGCATCTGTGTGTAGTCCGGCCAGTCTCCACCAGTGATTATGAATACCAATAATGTGTGTTCCCATTGGCTGTCTGTGCTACGACAGGGCGACACGGTGGCACTCGCTTATCAGCAAGAAGGTCCTGGGTTTGAATCCCGGTCGGAACGGGGCAGAGTGGAGTTTGCATGTCTTCCTCGTGTCTGCGTGGGTTTCCTCCGGGTGCTCCAGTTTTCCATGTACAATAGGTCTGGCATGCACCTCCCATCACTGTGTGGAGACAAAATGGCCTAAAAAACAACAGTTGTAAAGCGCTTTGTGTCTACTGCCGCCTGCCCCTTTCTCAATCATATTGTACTGTGATGGGAGACCTCTGAAGCTAAGCAGGGCAGGGCCTGGTTAGAGCTGTGATGGGAGACATCTGAGAACAGCAGGTGCCACAGTGGGGTGGCTGCGGCTGTAAAGTGCCAAACTGTTGTGGTGTCCTTAGGCAAGACACTTTAGAATGAGTCCAATTCCAGACCCCTTCTGAGTGGAGTTTGCAGGTTCTCCCTGTATCTGTGTAGGTTTCCTCCAGGTGCTCCGGTTTGTCCTACCACTAAAACATGTGCAAATAGCTCTGGCAGACGTCTCCTGTGTGGAGTGAGAGACAGATGCCCACAACTGTAGCTCTTTGTGACTCTGGTCTGTGAAAGGAGCTATATAGATAAAGATTACTTACTTTCTTACCTTTACAAAACTAAAAGCCGTCAAATTGACTGCTCTGGGAGTCCTGGTGTTAAGAGCCCGGTCCTGGCCCCTAAGACCTCCCTCCTGCAGCTGGAACAGGCTCTATCCTGGTGCTGTGCAGACTCAGCACCGACACGACACCAATGTAGGCCAACGGAGACGAGGCAGATTCTGGATCACGGAGAGGCAGAGGAGGTGCAGGAGGGGGAGGTGAAGAAGAGGAGGTGCAGCAGAGGAGGTGAAGCAGAGGAGGTGCAGCAGAGGAGGTGCAGCAGAGGAGGTGAAGCAGAGGAGGTGCAGCAGAGGAGGTGCAGTAGAGGAGGTGAAGCAGATTACTATTGCAACAACACATCATCAGTAGGGTAAAACGAGGAGCAAAGATTTTACAATAGTAAGTAAAAACAAACAATGCGTCACTTTCTCGGGTGTGAGAGAGTCATTATCTCGGGTGTGAGAGAGTAATTATCTCGGGTGTGAGAGAGTCATTATCTCGGGTGTGAGAGAGTCATTATCTCGGGTGTGAGACAGTCATTATCTCGGGTGTGAGAGAGACATTATCTCGGGTGTGAGAGAGACATTATCTCGGGTGTGAGAGAGACATTATCTCGGGTGTGAGAGAGTCATTATCTCGGGTGTGAGAGAGTCATTATCTCGGGTGTGAGAGAGTCATTATCTCGGGTGTGAGAGAGACATTATCTCGGGTGTGAGAGAGTCATTATCTCGGGTGTGAGAGAGTCATTATCTCGGTTGTGAGAGAGACATTATCTCGGGTGTGAGAGAGACATTATCTCGGGTGCGAGAGAGACATTATCTCGGGCGTGAGAGAACATTATCTCGGGTGTGAGAGAGACATTATCTCGGGTGTGAGAGAGTCATTATCTCGGGTGTGAGAGAGACATTATCTCGGGTGTGAGAGAGTCATTATCTCGGGTGTGAGAGAGTCATTATCTCGGGTGTGAGAGAGTCATTATCTCGGGTGTGAGAGAGTCATTATCTCGGGTGTGAGAGAGTCATTATCTCGGGTGTGAGAGAGACATTATCTCGGGTGTGAGAGAGTCATTATCTCGGGTGTGAGAGAGTCATTATCTCGGGTGTGAGAGAGTCATTATCTCGGGTGTGAGAGAGTCATTATCTCGGGTGTGAGAGAGTCATTATCTCGGGTGTGAGAGAGACATTATCTCGGGTGTGAGAGAGTCATTATCTCGGGTGAGAGAGAGCTCTATGGTGTAAACGTATAAAGGTTTACTCTGAAACTACACTTTCTGGAAGAAGACGTGAAATGTGGCTCCAAAGAAGAGTCTGCTGCAAACATGAAATCCTTTTAGTGGAACCAGGTGCAGAGTGTGAGCCTGGTGTGGAGGGAAGACACCTGCTCTGGGCTCTCTGCTGGTGTCTCTGCTGGTTTCTCTGCTGTTTCTCTGCTGGTGTGTCTGCTGGTGTCTCTGCTGTTTCTCTGCTGGTGTCTCTGCTGGTCTCTTTGCTGGTAAGTAAGTAAGTAAGTTTTTATTTATATACCGCCTTTTCACTGCAGATCTGAGTCTCAAAGCGGTTTACAATTGTTAATTTTGGGCATTTGTCTCTCACTCCACACAGAGATGGGAGCGGGGTCGCCAGTACAGGAGGCGCATGCCAGAACTATTGGACATATTTTTAGTGGTAGGGGAAACCGGAGTACCCGGAGGAAACCTACGCAGACACGGGGAGAACATGCAAACTCCACTCAGAAAGGCCCTGGTCCGGCCGGGATTTGAACCCAGGACCTTCTTGCTGAGAGGCGAGAGTGCTATCCACTCAGCCACCGTGCCGCCGTGGTGTCTATGCTGGTCTCTCTGCAGGTCTCTGCTGTTTCTCTGGTGGTCTCTCTGCTGGTCTCTCTGCTGGTTTCTCTGCTGGTGTCTCTGCTGGTCTCTGCTGGTGTCTCTTCTGGTCTCTCTGCTGGTCTTTCTGTGTATGTCATGTTGTGTGTATAGACAGGAGGACACAGAGAAAGAGAGAATGCATTGGTTTTATAAACAGCACTTTTATTGGACGCTCAAACACACTTCACATTATTCATTCACTCCATACACGGTGGTTAGAGGCTGTAACTTTAGCCACAGCTGCCCTGGGGCACACTCACAGAAGAGAGGCAACCAGTCTGTGCCATCAGCCTCTCCAGTCACCACCAACCTTTCTCACACACACCATTCTAAGTAACACGGGTTGATTGTTTTGATAGTTTAGCACTTTACAGGTGTGAGGAGCTGTCACTTACCTCTTGGAGGCGGGTTTTTGACTTGTTTCTGAGCCTCTCGAGAATGAACGAGAAAGGTCACTCTAACTAAAGCTTGAGGGAATCAATGAAAAAACCACTCTGAGAAAATAGCTGTAATCATGTTTAAAGCAGAGAAAAGTCAAAAGGCGTAATATCTTTGAGAGCGGAGCACAGAAGGAAAGAAGTCTCTATCTTTAGCATAGAATAGTGTATATGCTAGTGATTATAAGTATATACTACAATCTGTAAGAGATTCATTATCTCTGAGGTTTCTAATGTGATGAAACTGCAGTAAAGTCCCATTACTGCACAGTGGATCAAGTGTCATCCAGCCAACTGCATCTCCGCCAATACAGACAGACTCAGAAACCCTCTAGCAACATGTGTCTGGTCCTGTGCCGTGTGCTGCTCCTTCCTTCAGTTCTGTGACTTGAATAAAGAATCTCTTCATCTAAATGTATTGGCGATGGGAAAAACAACGTTGAAGTCAGTCCTGCACCAGGTCCATGAGAATAGAAGTGTGTTTCCTTCTTTCCTATTCCCAGACGTTCTTTTTTCCACAGTTGTTGGAGTTGGTTCTCGCTGAAGGAGTTGTGAGATCCTCTGGGATGGATCGTCCTTTGCTTGTTCTTTGGTGGATAGCTGTGTCTGTGTTGGGTATTCTCAAACCGTTCCCACTGATCTCCACACACACATATCCAGATTCATTAATGAGACACGACAAACCACCGCACGCTGTTGTTGCTTTTGGAGCCAGCCGCGATGTCTTTACAATTTGATATTTTTTAACATTATCGTTATTTTACCCATTGTGGAGGTTTTTAGCTTCACAGTGACTGCCACAGTGAGGGTATTTTTCAATCACTGGCAGGTTCATTTATTTAGTGCCTGATTAATTGTTTTTTTAGCTTAACGTCAATGATTTTTCCGAACTTGACCAGCCCTGGGTCATTTGGACCATTCTAGACCCGATTTAGGGTATTTTTACTTTTACTTTTAATCACATCGATGGTCGCTCAATCGGTAGAGTGTTGGGTGGTTTGAGCCTGAAGGTTGAGGGTTCGATCTCTGATGTCTGCTGATGCTCTGAGATGTGGGTGGCAGTTCCCTGATTCAGAAATGGATTAAGTGGAAGAAGCATTTTGACATAGACTGTAAATATAGTCACGTCTGTCTCCCCCAGTGAAACTAATTTGCCACCACTTTCAAATGTACACATTTACGCATGTGTTAACTGCACTAGCCCCATTTTTTAAACAAGTGCATTCTGAAGTCCACATTGGCTAAACTATACTGGTCCAAAAACAATCCTTCCATCAGCATTGACAGAATCTGGATTGTAGCTTTGGACCAAGAGCTACTTTTAGACCTTTCTGTAAAGACGTTTTCGTGAGGAAAGAAGATGCCTTACAAAAGCATTGGGCAATTCTCTTTCCGGGTACACCCCCACCGGAGGGCGTGAGCTTGCAGCATGTCAGCGCACGTGCTCATGGACCTTTTTGAGCCGGGACCCGCCCACACTGATATAAACCCGCCGCAACGCTTGGTTCGGTTGTTTTCTTAAAAATACTTTGCTGTCATTAGAATACAGTGGTATAAGTGATGAGACGTTATGAAGTAAAACCTAAAATATCCGACTATTTCAACAATGCACTTGTTACGGCTCTGTTTTGCACTTGCTTTGATGTATTTATCCTGTTTTTCTAAGTCATCTGTATGTAGTGCATTTCACACACCAAGGTCACACAAAGCACTTCATAATCCTTCTCCGCCGCTGATCTCTATTCTCTCCACACTCGAGAAACACCAACACACAGCCCTTCCCCATCTCCCTCAACACACTCACACCTACCGGGCTTTTAGCGGGGGAGCAAACAACCCAGACACGAGGAGAACATGCAAACGCCACATCAAAAAAAGCCCTGCCTGTCTCCTTTCACACAGGACAGAGTAATGTTTTATTCCCGGGCTCCTTTAACAGCTCTCTCAGTGAAAGCAGACAGGACTCATTCTGAGAGCGGGTTTTCGGCCTCAGATTCTGCTCTTCAAACATTTCTCTGACAAAACATTTTTCACGGTTGCGTTTCGAGGGCGGACCTTCGGACACATTTAACCGCAGCTGCTGTCCTCGCCGGCGTTCTGTGGAGAGAGGGCTTTTGTCCAGCTGCAGAGTGGTATTTTTGTCTGCTCTCTGATGCAACACCTCGCCGGCAATTTCACGCCGGCTGCGACTTTGGGCATGAGCTGCACGTCCGAGAACCGCTGTGGATGTTTGTTTGGATCCACTTTACCGAGTGGTCGCCGCGATCTGTTTTTGTAGGTTATAAGGCGTCAAAAGCATCAAAAACACAATATTATCCCCACCGCTCTGGGACACATAACACGTTCATTTAAACAGTATACTAACAGATGTGAAGGGTCCCATTATCTCTGTGTTTATACTGTAAATGTGCACATATTCACAGAGTTCTGAGCACGTAATGAATGAATACTTTTTTTTCGAGCCATGGCAGACAAGAACAATACAAATACAAATACAGTATGTTTTCTTTTATCAACAAAAAGTCAGCTCGAAAAGGAGTGGGAAGAAGTTAAGACAGTTAAGGCCTACATTCAAATTATTCTCTTCCCAAAACATTATCCGATTACTTATTATAGAGTATATATATTTAACATGTAATTTATGATAAGATAAACGTTATGGATCTCATAATGGAGAAATGTAAACATGTATAGATCGATAATTAAAGTATCCGATCTGTGCAGACGCTGGTGCAGCTGTGATCATTATTGTTTTTATGGGTTTGTGTCTGATTCTGTTTGTCATAAAAGTTTGATGATGAGGATTTATAAAACATAACAGCACTAAAAATTCAATCAAGAAGACGACGTTAAAGGATTAAAAATGAAAGTACAAATATGATAACTGACTCTATTTTTATGGTGAAAAACTGTACAATCTTTGGCGTAATTTTCTAGAATTTTCTAGAGTTGGTTTGAATGGGAGCAGTCAAAACTACGGTTGTGGAAGTATGAGAAATAGATAGATATATGGCCCTCACAACGACTCCGGTTGTGTATCTGCTCCGGTTGTGTATCTGCTCCGGTTGTGTATCTGCTCCGATTGTGTATCTGCTTCGGTTGTGTATCTGCTCCGGTTGTGTATCTGCTCCGATTGTGTATCTGCTTCGGTTGTGTATCTGCTCCGGTTGTGTATCTGCTCCAATTGTGTATCTCCTACCATTGTGTATCCGCTACCATTGTGTATCTGCTCCGGTTGTGTATCTGCTCCAATTGTGTATCTGCTCCGATTGTGCATCTGCTCCGGTTGTGTATCTGCTCCAATTGTGTATCTCCTACCATTGTGTATCTGCTCCGGTTGTGTATCTGCTCCGATTGTGTATCCGCTACCATTGTGTATCCATACTATATATACCATGTCGTGACTTGGTTCTGCCTGAAAAAAAAACTGAAAAAAAATCTGAGGGAATCTGAATAAACTTCCAGGTTGCTCTGGTGGTAATGATCCCGTCTGTGAGGCTGTTTTTTTGGCAGTAACACTTTGATATAAAACATCCATTCATCCATTTTCTTCCCCTTAATCCATTTCTGGGTCGGGGGGATGGCAGTCAGAGCCGGTCCACAGAGCACCAGCCTCTCACTGATCTTCCAGCGGGGGCTTCAGGCAAAGTGGGGTAATGTGTCTTGCCCATGGACACAACGGCAGCAGACATCAGTGGTCTTGTGTTGGGCTCAACCACGACCTTCAGGCTCAAAGGCCAATGCTTTACCAACTGAGCCACGGTCGCCCCAGATATCTGTAGGTACCCCAAAGAAAGATGGTGATTTAAATAAAGACTTTCACAGTTTGATAAATGTTGACTCATGAATGAAAACATGGTTGTGTTTTTGTATTTAAAATCTACAACATCCTTATTATTATAACTGAAAAACTGACATCAAGGAGTCAACATTTAAGGGTTAATTGTACTGTGTTAAAAAAATATTATAAATGACTTCTTTTTTATGGTGAAAAACTACACATTCTTTGGTGGAAAGAGTTGACTTTTTAGGTAAAGGAAAGTTATGAAGAGCTTTGAAAGACAAAAAAATCCAAGGCATTCATGGGCAATAGTTTATAGAGTTTTCTCATGGCTGTCATTTCAAATACGCACCAACACGTTCCGGCCGAGCTTTGCCTTCTTCAGGATGCGGAAAGAAAACAAATAATTTTACACGCTTGTACCACGCTCCACTCCTTACCCTTTGTTTTGTTGTTGTGTTGGTTTGAATGGGAGCAGTCAAAACGACAGCTGTGGTAGTTCTCGTAGTTTCAACATCAGAGTGTTTGCCTCTGTCCTTGCTTACATACTTACTTACTATTCCCGTCCCCATCATTGTCCACAGCCCCAGATGCTGTATTCCCACATTATTCCCGTTTCAGTCTGTGATGAATAGGGACCTGCAGGAAGTCGGTGCTTATCGGACGGACCGCCTTGTTGTGGAGGCTCCAAAGGAAAGAGGAGTTAAGAAGGTGCTTAGTGCTTCCTATTGTTTCTTATTCAGAGCTATAAATATGCAGAATGAAAGGGAAGCAGCGGAGCAGACAGTGGCTTCCATAAATCAGCAGAATCTGCAGAGACGTGCGGCAGATGGCGGGAATAAGGGAAAGAAGAAAAACACACAAAAAAACTGCTCCGTCTCAATTCTGTGCAGATTAAGCAAAAGCAACTGTACGACCTGTGCTAGTACATTCTGTGGGAACGTGTGTGTGTGTGTGTGTGTGTGTGTGGGGGGGGGTGTGTGCTAGTCTATACTGTGGGAACATGAGTGTGTGTGTGTGTGTGTGTGTGTGTGTGTGCTAGTCTATACTGTGGGAACATGAGTGTGTGTGTGTGTGTGTGGGGGGTGTGTGCTAGTCTATACTGTGGGAACATGAGTGTGAGTGTGTGTGTGTGTGTGTGTGCTAGTCTATACTGTGGGAACATGAGTGTGTGTGTGTGTGTGTGTGCTAGTCTATACTGTGGGAACATGAGTGTGTGTGTGTGTGTGTGCTAGTCTATACTGTGGGAACATGAGTGTGTGTGTGTGTGTGTGTGTGTGTGCTAGTCCATACTGTGGGAATATGAGTGTGTGTGTGTGTGCTAGTCTATACTGTGGGAACATGAGTGTGTGTGTGTGTGTGTGTGTGTGCTAGTCCATACTGTGGGATCATGAGTGTGTGTGTCCGTGACTATTTGTCTAAACGTCTTAAACTCAAATCAATCAGAAAACTATTTTTGTATCTTGTAATTTGTTTTATTATTTATTATTTAATTCCAACTTGATCCATGTAGGTTCGTTAAGGGGGTGTGAGAGGAAGCGGATAAAGAGATCAGAGAGAGACCAGAGAGAGACCAGAGAGAGACCAGAGAGTGGTCAGAGAGAGACCAGAGAGAGGTCAGAAAGAGACCAGAGAGAGAGACCAGAGAGAGATTAGAGAGACCAGAGTGACCAGAGAGACCAGAGAGAGACCAAAGCGAGATTAGAGAGACCAGAGAGAGCTACAGCCTCAAACCCTTACCAAAGTTCCCATTCCTCTTTCAGACTTTAGATTTGAACTAGCAGCTACAGCGTCTGACCTGTGCTGCTGAGAATGCGTTATTCTCTTAAAACTAAAACTTTTTCATCAGAGCCGAAACGCTCTTCCCCTTGACCCGGTTCCTCTGCAGCCTCTGCTTCTGCATGTCCTGCTCAAGTTTACTTTCAAATAATCCTGTTAAATTTTTCACATTTCGCTTGAGCTCTGTGCAGTCATCCTTCCGACTCTGAGGTCTGGACTCCTCTGCACTCGTCTGTGGTTTCTCAAATAAGGCCCTTGTCGTTTTATCCAGATTCTGCGTTGGTACATTGGAAGTAGAGGTCTCAACCTTCACGGCTTTTAGATCTGTTAGCTTCTCCGCGCTAGCTACCGTTTGCGTCTGCGTTTCACACACAGACGGCTTTTCCTGGGGTGCGACCTTGCTTACTTGTTGCTCCAAACGTCTGCGAGCTTCCACCTGTTGTTCAAAGCCCTCCTTGAAAACGCTCAACTCCTCGAGGTGATTGTCGAACGCTTTTGTCTGTAGCAGTTTTAGCTCCATCAATTTCTCACAAGCCTCCTTATGTTCGGCCTCATGTTTCCGTGAGGTTTCTTTGGCTTGTTCCAGCTCCTTCTCCAGACGTTGATTCTGCTCCACACACCAAATATACTCCTGTTTTACGTCCTCGAACTCCTTCAGTTGGCGTTCAAGCATCTCAATCTTCTTCTCAGCTGAACTCTGTGTTTTTTTGCCAACTGAGACCTGGTCTTCACACTGCGTTTCCACTTTCATCTGTAAAAGTTGCAGCTCTTTCTCCAGGTTTTGATTCTGCCAAACAGACCAAGAAAACTCCTCTCTCAACTCTTCGAACTCCTGAAGTTGCCGTTCTAGCATCTCAATCTTCTGGCTTTGTTTCGCATTCTCACTGATCTGATTCTCTGAACTTTTTCCAACTGAGTCCCCCTCTTCCAAAGACTGCTTTAAAACCCTGAGCTCTTCAAAGTTTTCTTGAAGCTCTTTCTCGTGTGAGAGTTGCAGCTCTTTCAACTTCTCACAAGCCTCCTGACGTTCAGACTCATGTTTATATGAGTTGTCGTTGGCTTTTTCCAGATCTTTCTCCAGCCTGAGGTTCAGAGTTTGCAGCTGCATCAGTTTCTCACAAACCTCCTGATTCTCTTTCTCCTTCTTTGCTAACCTTTCTCTTGCTAGCTCCAACTCTGCGTTAAACTTGGCCTCTTTGACTTGCATACACCTCAGCACAATCTCAAATTCCTCATACCAGCTTTCGGAGTCTGGCAGGTTGACTGTCTGAGTCTGGACCTCGCAGGTGGACCTGGCCTGAGTCTGTGTCTGGACCTCGCAGGTGGACCAGGCCTGAGTCTGTGTCTGGACCTCGCAGGTGGACCAGGCCTGAGTCTGTGTTTGGACCTCACAGGTGGACCAGGCCTGAGTCTGTGTTTGGACCTCACAGGTGGACCAGGCCTGAGTCTGGACCTCGCAGGTGGACAAGGCCTGAGTCTGGACCTCGCAGGTGGACAAGGCCTGAGTCTGGACCTCGCAGGTGGACAAGGCTTGAGTCTGGACCTCACAGGTGGACAAGGCCTGAGTCTGGACCTCACAGGTGGACAAGGCCTGAGTCTGGACCTCGCAGGTGGACAAGGCTTGAGTCTGGACCTCACAGGTGGACAAGGCCTGAGTCTGGACCTCACAGGTGGACAAGGCCTGAGTCTGGACCTCGCAGGTGGACAAGGCTTGAGTCTGAACCTCGCAGGTGGACAAGGCTTGAGTCTGGACCTCGCAGTTGGACCAGGCCTGTGTCTGTGTCTGGACCTCGCTGCTGGACCAGGCCTGAGTCTGGACCTCGCTGCTGGACCAGGTGGGTGGTTGGAAGTCCGTCTGTCCGTGAATTATGTTGTCCTCAAACATCTCTTCCATCTCCTGCAGCTCCTGGTTCAGCTGTGACAGGATCTTTCTGATGTCGTTGTCTTTGGGGCCGACGTCTCCCACTTCTGGACCTTCCATGGTCAGTGTAATGTTGTCCATATGTGTCTTAGAACCTTGTCGAACTGTTAAGACTTTCCTCCGTTTTGCTTCTGTGTAAGTCCTCCTCTCGTTATACCAATCTTCTGCTCCTTCAAACCGGACTCCAGACGCTGTGTTTGTGTTTGAGACGTGACGTTTCCCTAAAGCTAACTTTTGAGGGCTTTTTATACGTCATCACTGCTTTGACAGGAACGCCGTAACCTAGCAACCGGTGACAAACATCAGGATCCGGAACAGTGGGGATGTTCCCATGGCAACCTGTCCTTTTATTTAATTGCAGAATGAGCAGGATTCAAATCGTTATTGTTTTATAAAGATACAAACTGAACATTATTTAAACGTTTTTTACGTTGGTGCGTGCGACTGTGTATGGGTGTGTGTGTGTGTGTGTACATGCATGCGGCCCTCATATATGGCATAAAAATCATGCGGGAAAAACCGTACGTCCTGATATGTCACAGTGCAGACATAGGTCCGCATTTGTCACAAAAACGTGTAAATGTGTGTGTGTGTGTGTGTGTCTGTTCATCTAAATGGGGGAAGCTTGTTTACAGTGAGAGTGGGAGAAGGTTTGAGGGCCACATAGAGACGAGAACAGGGCCGCAAGCAGCCCCCGGGCCACACTATGCCCAGGTCTCACACACAGTATCTGTCTGTCTTACATTCATACCTGGAGGTGAAAGCCATATTCGGTCAAACCTGTGAAGCTAAGCAGGGCAGTGCCCGGTTAGTACATGATGGGAGACCTGTGGGAACACCAGGTGCCACAGTGGGGCTGTGGTTGTTTCCTTAGGCAAGACACTTCCCCCACCTTAGAATGAATCTGGTGTGTTTGTGTGAATGGTTGGTGATGGTGGGAGGGGCCGATTGCACAGAACGGTTGCCTCGCTTCTGTCAGTGTGCCCCAGGGCAGCTGTGACTACAGTAGTAGTTTGTCACCATTGTTTATGGAGTGAAAGAATAATGACATGTGAAGCGTCCAAAACAGCACGATATAAAACCGTTGCATTCTTAAACCAAACTAATCTTCCTCTTTTGTGACATGTACAGTATATATTTATTCATTAGTTTACGCGTTGCCAGTCCAGCGGCTTGTCCAGTCGGGGGTGGAATGATCGGCGACAACATATTCCAAAACAAAGGTTGCACCCAGCGAGGTAGATCGAAGGGAAGCAGCCAGTGGTTTCTCATCAATAAAACCACAGAGTAATTAGAGAAAGCACTTGAAAGCCAATTTGCGAGCTGACAAATGATCAATCTTCATCTGTAATGCAGCCTCCGTAGCATACAGCGGCGGCGGCGGAGGACGGGCTGACAAATGGCTCTTCTTCAGGCGTTTTAAAAAAATGTTTTCCCTCTTGCAGAAAGCTTCGTCGGTCGCTGCTGAATGAGGAAGATCTTGGGTGTCGTATGAGCTCAAACGTTCCGTGATGATTTTTGTTGGCAGGTCGGTGAAACGCAGGCGGGTAATGAAGTCACTTAAGCGCCGGGGTTGAAAGAGCCGGAGTGGGATCTCAGAGTAAGACGACAGAAGGAGAGACGAGAGCGCTAAGAAGCAGGAAATTAGAACAAAATATGATAAAACCTTGAAAAGAGACAGAAGAAGACAAAAATCAAAAGCATTAAAACTAAAAATAAACAGTTGTAGGAAAAATGTAGGTAAATGTTTGCGGGAAGCCAGAACACCACCTGCAGGTAACAAAAAGTCAGGTCCTGTCAAGAGTGTTGACGTTAAGCAGGGAAGGGGCTGGATACTTATGTGATGGGAGACCTCTGGGGACATCATGAGCCAGATTGAGGCAGCTGTAAAGTGCCAAACTGTGGTTGTGTCCTTAGGCAAGACACTTCACCCACATTAGAATGAGTCTGGTGTGTGTGCGTGTGTGCATGTGTGTGTGTGTGTGTGTGTGTGTGTGCGTGCTACTGTAGCCAATACAGTTTATACACAAGTTTTAGAGCTTGTTTGGAGAGACCAGAGAGCAAATGATACAGCTCTTAGATAGATAGATACATACTGTAGATAGATAGATGGATAGATACAGTAGATAGATAGATGGAAAAACATAACTTTATCTGACACATGGGACTAAAAAGTGGATGCATTTAAACGTCTAAGTTATATAATTATGATAAATAATACTTTAGAGTGACTACCATCTGTGATTTGGCAAAATAAATGACAGCGAGACGTAAATACAGTCCGAGAGCAGAATAACTCGCCGTGTCTGACTATCCCTGATGCCAAATGCTTTATGAAAATCCACTCTAAATCAAATGACTGTGTGAGCGTCATCTGTCTCAGTCTGGGGACGACTCTGGACCTGCCTCTGGACCTGTACTCTGGACCTGCCTCTGGACCTGTACTCTGGACCTGTACTCTGGACCTGCCTCTGGACCTGTACTCTGGACCTGTACTCTGGACCTGCCTCTGGACCTGCCTCTGGACCTGCCTCTGGACCTGTACTCTGGACCTGCCTCTGGACCTGCCTCTGGACCTGTACTCTGGACCTGCCTCTGGACCTGCCTCTGGACCTGTACTCTGGACCTGTACTCTGGACCTGCCTCTGGCCCTGCCTCTGGACCTGGCTCTGGACCTGTACTCTGGACTTGTACTCTGGACCTGCCTCTGGACCTGTACTCTGGACCTGCCTCTGGCCCTGCCTCTGGCCCTGCCTCTGGACCTGGCTCTGGACCTGTACTCTGGACCTGCCTCTGGACCTGTACTCTGGACTTGTACTCTGGACCTGCCTCTGGACCTGTACTCTGGACCTGTACTCTGGACCTGCCTCTGGACCTGTACTCTGGACCTGCCTCTGGACCTGTACTCTGGACCTGCCTCTGGTCCTGCCTCTGGACCTGTACTCTGGACCTGCCTCTGGACCTGTACTCTGGACCTGCCTCTGGCCCTGCCTCTGGCCCTGCCTCTGGACCTGCCTCTGGCCCTGCCTCTGGACCTGCCTCACGTGCCTCCGCCTGCTCACTACAACAGTATTCATTACTTTACTTCATGGTTTTTAATATTTCTTGTGTTTTCGAATGTAGATTTTTATGATTTGCAGGATATGATGTGGGTTGTGAGGCCCTTTGTGTTGCCTTGTGCCTTGCCTTTGTGTGGCGCTCTACAAATGTTGATTGATTGATTGATATATTCTTGAATACATAAATCTGCTTCAGAAGCACCTGTGTCACAGTTATACAGAATAAGGAGTCATTCAGAACTTATACAGACATTTCAGAAGCACCAGGTTTTTTCCCAGTGCAGTCATAAGTAAGTAATCATGTTTTTATGACGCATATGTATTATCTTTTTATCATACAGGGGAGGGGGGGGGGGTTAAAAACATAAATAAAAAAATTAAATAGAATACAAAAAAAAAAAAAGAATAAAATTACTATAAATATCACGACCATAATACACACATACTGTATACATATATTCATACACTAATAAAATATAAAATTAAATTAAATATGATAAATAACTGTATAAACACAGAGAAACACAAGTCCTGGGTTCAATTCCACCTCCAGGCCTTTCTGAGTGTAGTTTGCATGTTCTCCCCGTGTCTGCCTAGGTTCCCTCCAGGCGCTCCGGTTTCCCCTACCACTAAAAACATGCACATTATATCTGAATGTAACAAGTGAGGGAATGGACAGTGTTTGGTCGGAGGTTTTGATGCTCCAGTGTGTTCGGCGTCTCGTTTTCTGTCATCATTCTGAGGTAGGGGGACCCCGTAGCACCCGGAGGAAACCTACGTCGACACGGGGAGAAGCGCAGACTCCGCACAGCAAGCCCTGGAGGTGGATTGGAACCCTCTGCTGCTGTGTAAACCACTCCAGCCTCCTGCATTAATCCGAATCTTTCTCCCACAATAGATTTGGACACGATAATTCTCCCTCCAGGTGAATTGGAATAACTCTGACCATTAGTGAATTAGAGTTTGCTCTTTAAAATAAGCCATTGATCTTGGGGCTGGGGCTGATTGGTTGCTGACCGACCAGAGAATTTAATTATCAGGGCGAGTGTTGCCTGCTCAGCCGTGTTGTCTTGAAGGTCAGGGTGCTGCTCTGAGCCCATTTAAAACTAAAAGACAAGGCTTTGAGGCAAGAGAGAGAGAGAGACGGGACCGAGCGGGATTAGATTAAGCTAAATTTCTCCTATTTCACTGTTTTTCCGAGTGGCAAATGTGTCACTCCTCAAGTTGCAAAACTAGGGTTGCAAAGGGGCAGTTTCTAGTGTGTATCCAGAAAGTTTCAGGTACATATCCATAGGGAGTAAACAGGGGGAATGTCCCACAGTAGGGAAATGTTGTTGTTGCATCGCACATACAGGACAGTAGTGAGAGCACACAGGGAGCACACACAATACTGTATATACAAATAAGTAGTAGTTATGTTTCTTAAATAACATAACTAGCTGTAGATGCTGAAAAAGCTTCAATACCAGTAAAAAAAATATATATGTAGTAGTACAGTTATATACTGTACAGTTAAATAGTGCAGGATAAAAAGTATATAAGTAAAGTGACATGAGGTAAAGTGACATTGTTCAGTGACATTCTGAAGTTGCTGTATTGCACATTGCACATGATTTAAGAATTTACTTAATTACAGATGAATGAAATGTACAGGCTCAGCAGTTCTTATTGTACAGTCTGACAGCAGCAGGAAGGAAAGACCTACGGAACCTCTCCTTCACACAGCAAGGGTGAATTAGTCTGTCACTGAAGCTGCTCTCCAGAGCAGAGAGAGTGTCCTGCAGGGGGCGACAGTCATGGTCCAGCATAGATGTTAGTTTGTTCAGGACCCTCCTGTCCCCCACCTGCTGCACTGTGTCCAGGGAACAGCCCAGGACTGAGCTGGACTTCCTGATGACCTTGTCCAGCTTCTTCCTGTCCCTCTCTGTGATGCTGCTGTTCCAGCAGACCACACCGTACAAGAGGCTGATGCCACCACAGAGTCATAGAAGGTCTTCAGGAGTGGCCCCTGCACTCCAAAAGACCTGAGCCTCCTCAGCAGGTAGAGGCGGCTCTGGCCCTTCTTGAAGAGGGCGTCTGTGTTATGAGTCCAGTCCAGTTTGTGGTTAAGATGAACACCCAGGTACTTGTAAGAGTCCACTCTCTCGATGTCCTTTCCCTGGAGGTTCACTGGGGCTGGAGCGGCAGAGTGACGTCTGCGGAAATCCACCACCATCTCCTTGGTCTTCCCCGCGTTGATGAGGAGGTGGTTCCGCTGACACCAGTCCACAAAGTCCTGTATAACTCCTCTCTACTCTGCGTCATCGTCCTCGGAGCTGAGTCCGATGATGGCGGAGTCGTCAGAGAACTTCTGTAGAACACAACCGTCCGTGTTGTGTCTGAAGTCCGCAGTGTAGAGGGTGAAGAGGAACGGCGCGCGGACAGTTCCCTGGGGGGCCCCCACACTGCAGGTCAGGACCTCCGACACAAAGCCCCTGGTTCTCACAAACTGGGGTCTGTCTGTGAGGTAGTCCAGGATCCAATGGGACAGGTCGTAGTCCACACCGGCTGTCTCCATCTTGTCCCTGAGAAGCCTCGGCTGGATGGTGTTGAAGGCACTGGAGAAATCAAAGAAGCGGATCCTCACAGTGGAGCCCGGTTTCTCCAGGTGGGACAGGGAGCAATATAAGAGGGAGATGATGGCGTTCTCGACTCCGATGCCCGGCCTGTAGGCGAACTGCAGCGGGTCCATCGCTGGGCTCAGAGTGGAGCGGAGATGTCCCAGGACCAGTCTCTCCAGTGTCTTCATGCAGTGGGATGTTAGAGCCACTGGCCTGAAATCGCTGAGGTCTTTGGCCCGTGGTTTCTTGGGCACTGGTACCACACAGGAGGTCTTCCAGAGCTGTGGTACCGACCTCAGCTTGAGGCTCAGGTTGAAGACGCGCTCCATCACTCCACAGAGTTCGTCTGCACAGGAGCGAAGGAGCCTGGAGCTGATGTTATCTGGTCCTGGTGCCTTTCTGGTCTTTATCCTCCTCATCTCTGTCCTCACCTGAGCAGCGGTGACTGACATGGGGGTGCAGGGGGGCTGGGTGGAGTGGGTGCTGAATAGGGAGGACGGGGGCTCAGTGGATACTAATTTTCTACACATTAGTATCTTTTTAATCAAGAAAACACATGGTTTCAGTGTCCGCATGTCTCTCTCCTTGTGCTGCTAACTCGATGCTAATGTTTCCTAGTCCGTGACGCCGCCGGGTCTGGTACATTTACATTCTCTGTGTCTGCACCAGCTTTGCCCCAGAACCAGGAAGTCATAAATGTTAGAATAAAGTGTTTTTGCCTCTGCAGCGGTTTCTCCTCTGCAGAGAGAGAGCACAGGGACGGATGCAAAGAGAGCACAGGGACAGATGCTCTTCTGCAGGTGTCAGACACAGGGACGCTTTTAGCATCCGCCGCCGTGACTTTCTATTATTATAAATGTTTGGAACGTGCAGCGTCGATGGTACAGGGTTGATGTATGTGTATATGTTTATGTACCATGTGATACCATGTGGGGACGGGGCTTAACATCTGTCATGTAAGGACAATAGACACAGAGACACAGGTACATGTAGACACAGGTACATGTAGACACAGGTACATGTAGACACAGGTACATATAGACACAGAGACACAGGTACATGTAGACACAGGTACATATAGACACAGAGACACAGGTACATATAGACACAGAGACACAGGTACATATAGACACAGAGACACAGGTACATATTGACACAGAGACACAGGTACATATAGACACAGAGACACAGGTACATATAGACACAGAGAGACACAGGTACATACAGACACAGAGACACAGGTACATATAGACACAGAGACACAGGTACATGTAGACACAGGTACATGTAGACACAGGTACATATAGACACAGGTACATATAGACACAGAGACACAGGTACATATAGACACAGAGACACAGGTACATATAGACACAGGTACATATAGACACAGAGACACAGGTACATATAGACACAGAGACACAGGTACATATAGACACAGAGACACAGGTACATGTAGACACAGGTACATATAGACACAGAGACACAGGTACATATAGACACAGAGAGACACAGGTACATATAGACACAGAGACACAGGTACATATAGACACAGAGACACAGGTACATATAGAAACAGAGACACAGGTACATATAGACACAGAGACACAGGTACATGTAGACACAGGTACATATAGACACAGAGACACAGGTACATATAGACACAGAGACACAGGTACATATAGACACAGAGACACAGGTACATATAGAAACAGAGACACAGGTACATATAGACACAGAGACACAGGTACATATAGAAACAGAGACACAGGTACATATAGACACAGAGAGACACAGGTACATATAGACACAGAGACACAGGTACATATAGACACAGGTACATATAGACACAGAGACACAGGTACATATAGACACAGGTACATATAGACACAGGTACATACAGACACAGGTACATATAGACACAGAGACATAGGTACATATAGACACAGGTACATATAGACACAGGTACATACAGACACAGGTACATATAGACACAGGTACATATAGACACAGGTACATACAGACACAGGTACATACAGACACAGGTACATATAGACACAGGTACATATAGACACAGGTACATATAGACACAGTTACATACAGACACAGGTACATATAGACACAGTTACATACAGACACAGGTACATATAGACACAGGTACATACAGACACAGGTACATATAGACACAGGTACATACAGACACAGGTACATACAGACACAGGTACATATAGACACAGGTACATATAGACACAGGTACATACAGACACAGGTACATATAGACACAGGTACATATAGACACAGGTACATATAGACACAGTTACATACAGACACAGGTACATATAAACACAGGTACATATAGACACAGGTACATACAGACACAGGTACATATAGACACAGGTACATATAGACACAGGTACATATAGACACAGTTACATACAGACACAGGTACATATAGACACAGGTACATATAGACACAGAGACACAGGTACATATAGACACAGAGACACAGGTACATATAGACACAGGTACATATAGACACAGAGACACAGGTACATATAGACACAGAGACACAGGTACATATAGACACAGAGACACAGGTACATGTAGACACAGGTACATATAGACACAGAGACACAGGTACATATAGACACAGAGAGACACAGGTACATATAGACACAGAGACACAGGTACATATAGACACAGAGACACAGGTACATATAGAAACAGAGACACAGGTACATATAGACACAGAGACACAGGTACATGTAGACACAGGTACATATAGACACAGAGACACAGGTACATATAGACACAGAGACACAGGTACATATAGACACAGAGACACAGGTACATATAGAAACAGAGACACAGGTACATATAGACACAGAGACACAGGTACATATAGAAACAGAGACACAGGTACATATAGACACAGAGAGACACAGGTACATATAGACACAGAGACACAGGTACATATAGACACAGGTACATATAGACACAGAGACACAGGTACATATAGACACAGGTACATATAGACACAGGTACATACAGACACAGGTACATATAGACACAGAGACATAGGTACATATAGACACAGGTACATATAGACACAGGTACATACAGACACAGGTACATATAGACACAGGTACATATAGACACAGGTACATACAGACACAGGTACATACAGACACAGGTACATATAGACACAGGTACATATAGACACAGGTACATATAGACACAGTTACATACAGACACAGGTACATATAGACACAGTTACATACAGACACAGGTACATATAGACACAGGTACATACAGACACAGGTACATATAGACACAGGTACATACAGACACAGGTACATACAGACACAGGTACATATAGACACAGGTACATATAGACACAGGTACATACAGACACAGGTACATATAGACACAGGTACATATAGACACAGGTACATATAGACACAGTTACATACAGACACAGGTACATATAAACACAGGTACATATAGACACAGGTACATACAGACACAGGTACATATAGACACAGGTACATATAGACACAGGTACATATAGACACAGTTACATACAGACACAGGTACATATAAACACAGGTACATATAGACACAGGTACATACAGACACAGGTACATACAGACACAGGTACATATAGACACAGGTACATATAGACATAGGTACATACAGACACAGGTACATATAGACACAGGTACATATAGACACAGGTACATACAGACACAGGTACATATAGACACAGGTACATACAGACACAGGTACATACAGACACAGGTACATATAGACACAGGTACATATAGACACAGGTACATACAGACACAGGTACATACAGACACAGGTACATATAGACACAGGTACATATAGACACAGGTACATATAGACACAGGTACATACAGACACAGGTACATATAGACACAGGTACATATAGACACAGTTACATACAGACACAGGTACATATAGACACAGGTACATATAGACACAGGTACATATAGACACAGTTACATACAGACACAGGTACATATAGACACAGTTACATACAGACACAGGTACATATAGACACAGGTACATATAGACACAGTTACATACAGACACAGGTACATATAGACACAGGTACATACAGACACAGGTACATATAGACACAGGTACATATAGACACAGTTACATACAGACACAGGTACATATAGACACAGGTACATATAGACACAGGTACATACAGACACAGGTACATATAGACACAGGTACATACAGACACAGAGATACACATTTATGGACTGTGGTCTCTGCTCTATGTGTTTGTTATCATTGCCTTGTTTGTGTCTGATTCTCTGATCTGTTGTTGGCAAATTGACAGTTTTGTAAAGTCCTCAAAAATAACTACTCCTGTGATTTAGGGACATAAAAGAAAAAAATAGAATAGAAAAGAGTAAACTGCTGGTCTGGTCTTCCTTCACGTCGCTCTCTTTGTGGTTCGAAGGAGACAGAGAAACACCATCTGCAGACTTCTCCTGAGACTAAAGTTTGCGTTCTGTGTGAAAGTCGTCGGTGTTTCTTGGACGTGTTCAGAAAAGTGTCAAGAACAAAGCCCCGACAGGAGCCCTCAGGGTCTGGAAACATCTGAAGGACTTTCCGATGGATCCACTCCTGACAAATGTCTCTTTGGAAAACTCAATCGAGAAACAGGTTTAGGAGGAAGTGGTCTGAGAGGATCGTCTTCAACTGTTTATAATGAGTCTGACTCTGCACCTGCTGAGACTCTGAGGAGCACAGGGACCGGCCTCCTGCTGGGACTCTGAGGAGCACAGGGACTGGCCTCCTGCTGGGACTCTGAGGAGGACAGGGACTGGCCTCCTGCTGGTCCCAGAGTCAGGACCATAGACTGTATATATTAACGGACAGAGTCACGCCTATCTCTGCCGTTCTGACTAATGGGCCAAAAAATGTGCTCTACTGGAGCAATCCAAAATGGCCGCGAGTGGTCCCGCCCACAAGAAAATTGTGAAAAAACGCATCTGCGCATGCGTCAGCCAGCGCAGCTCCATTCATTTGAACGAGAGAGAACGAGAATTCAAAAATTCACAGCGACTAAACTAGAGTGGACCAAACACCCCCCTCAGCATTGACACACATGTGGAACGGAGCTTTGGGCCAAGAGCCAACTTTTGGTCCATCCTGTAAAGACGTTTTTGAGAGGTCTGCTAACGCTATATGTTAGCATTGGCTAATTCTTCTTAGCGTCAGCGCACGTCGTTTTGGCCACTTTTGAGCCGGGACCCGCCCCACTGGTCAGGACTAAACTTGAGGAGGCAGCGTTTCAGATCTATGCAGCTAAAATGTGGAGTAGTCTTCCTGAAAATGTGAGACAGGCTTCTTCTCTGACAGTGTCAAAACAGTTGACACAGAGAGAGAGAGAGAGAGAGAGAGAGAGAGAGACAGACAGAGACAGACCGAGACAGAGAGAGGGACAGAGAGAGAGTGATGAGAGCAGAATCCAGATTGAGTTTCCTTGAATGAAGGAGGAGGAGGAGGAGGAGGAGGAGGAGGAGGAGGAGGAGGAGGAGGAGGAGGAGTTAGTGAGTTTAAAGCACAGTCCTCGCTCTGTGTTTCCTGAGGCAGACTTCCTCGTCTTCCTCCTCTTTTGACCGTGTGCGTCGAAGGATAAATGTCACTGTTGCTAATCTACTCTGCAGTGTTGCCGCGGCGACCACAGCATCATGGCTTTGTCATAAACTCTGAGGTGAAATGGTGCGTTCAGACGGACAAATGAAGTCTTCTTATATTCTTTCACACACAAACAAAACAGAAACAAAACAGGAGCGTAAGGACACACAAACGCACACACACGCACACACACACACACACACACACACACACACACTAAGGGGGAACTTTGACGATAACCTTTTTCACGTTATGGAGATACTGGCTCTGTCTCACATACGCTGCTTTGCTAGTTTGCCATTGACGTATTTGTCTGAGACACTCTATTCGACGGGGGTTTACAGGATGATAAAAATAACTAGAAACATACTTGTTTTTGCTGATCAAAGTAGGAAATCCAATCTTTCAGAATCTGGTTTCATATTTCACATAGTCTTAAGAAATAATATTCGGTGGGCCTTGAGAATCAGTGAAATCATGACCCTTTTGAGACTCCGCTTGTTGTCATCGAACAGTGTGACTTTATACCAGTGATTGTAGGCTTTATACGCAGCTAAAACAAACTTTAAAGACCTGAAGCCGGGTTTAAAAAAAAAAAAGTCGATCTGAAAGAGATTCCGGCAAAAAAAATCCTATATTTTATAAAAAGAACGTGTTTTTCATGAATTTAAGTTGTCTATGCTCTAACCTGTGTGTGACGTCACAGCGGGTTACGCCCATGCATTGAAAACCATGAATCTATGCCACAGGACTGCCTTTTCTCTCTTCTCTCCACTGATGCCCAACACAATACTGCCCTCTACAGGTGACAATTGCTCACTACACATAAATTGCCGTTTTGAGAGTGAAAATGTGTCTGAGGTGGGATTTGAACCCCAGTTTCTGGATTGACAGTCCATCGACACAACCACTGGATTATCTCAGTGTCACTAAACCGTCGCATAGATCCGCAAAAAAATACCAAATACCAAATTGTAAACAACTTACAGCGTTGAAACGTACCCACTCTGACGTCACCAAGGGCTGTGAAGTTTTTTCGTCTCTAAGGGCGTTGCTATGGGGTTATTTCGATTTGGGGGAATCAGACAAAAAAAACAACAACTGATTTTGAAACCTTTAGTAGTTCTCTTCTAATATAAAATGGTATTAAAACTGTATTTCTAAATAAATCAAACCCGGCATAAGGTCTTTAAGGTTATTTAATGTAACCCCAGCTCTTTGATAACAGAGTGAGGTGTTTCACCACAGATTACAGTCGAGGCATTACTTTGGGAGACAAGAACTCCCGCGACTGCACAAGAGAGAGCAGCTGAATTGGAACGAGTGACTTACTATTATCCTGTAAAGATATCCATATATTGAGATGTATAAAAAAAAAAATCCATATTGTTGAGCCCTAACACACGCACACACACACACTTTACATCCACATCCCTCACAGTTGGAGTGACAGAGGGGACTTCCATCTTGTAGCCACCTTCTCTGTGGAACCCCAAACCCAAGAGCACCCTGTGTTGAGTCCGAGTCTCTCCGAGGCAGGACCGGTCTGCATTTACGGTGGAGCTCTGTGTGGGCTGGACAGGTGCCTTATGGGAAATGTAGTCAATCCCTGAAACAAATGCCCTGTCTGTTCCGCGGGCAGCCGTTCCTTAAGGATTCCATAATTAGCATTTGGACGTGTTCTCTGAAGCCTCCTCCACTTTACAGCCCTCTGCTTTATTTACCGGCTGCTCTTTCTCCTCCTCAGCAGTTTCTCCACGAACACAAGGTTATTCTTGGGAGCGACTCTTTCAGTCCCTTCTCCTCGATGCAGATTTTAAACTCAGCGTGTCCCGAGGTGATTCGTCTCCTTCCTTTCGCACGCTACTACTTCTTATTCAAAAAGGTTATCGTCTCCTTTTCTGTTTTAATTAATTTATCTTTATTCATTATTCATAGTATTAGCTCTGGATCCTGTGCCTGCATTATAGGAGTCCGTAAGAAAGGCCGAATACAAAATAACATAATAACCAATGTATCATAATCAATGTATCTGTAGCTAATATCACGATCGCTAAAATGTAGATTAGGCCTCGTGCATACCAGTGGAGGCGGGTCCCGGCTCAAAAGTGGCCAAAATGACGTGCGCTGAAATGCTGCAATACCAGCCCGGGCCTGTGGGGGCGGACCCAGAATAACAATTATTCAATGCTAACATATAGCATTAGCTGACTTCTCAAAAACGTCTTTACAGGATGGACCAAAAGTCGCTCTTGGCCCAAAGCTCCGTTCCACATGTGTGTCAATGCAGAGGGAGTGTTCTGGACCACTCTAGTTTAGTCGCTGTGGACTTTTGAAGGCACTCGTTTACATGAATGGAGCTCGTGCAGCTGACACATGCGCAGATGCGTTTTTTCACATTTTCCAGCCCCCGCGGCCATTTTGAAACTGCCCATAGACCGCAGTTGTGGCACATTAGTTTGAACGGCGGAGATAGGCGTCACTACGTGTGTTAATATTTACAGTCTATGGTCCAAACACAAGGCAACTCAAAGTGAAAAAATAAATACAAAAGAAATGTTAAAATCATAAAAAAAAGATGAGAAAGAGCAAATATGCAGTCCTTCAGTTGTATGCACAGCTAATCACAACTGTTTTATCCTGGATTTGAACATTGTCAGAGAGTATTCATTTACATTTAGTTTTGTGTAGTCCTAAATCACAACACTAGTTTTCTCTGAGGACTTTACAAAACACGGATCAGAGAATCAAACCGTTCAAACACAAGAAATGCAAAGATAGAAAACACTTAGAGATGTTGGTCCAAAAGAACAGAGACCAAAGTCCATGTTTTTGTTAAATGTGGAGTGTATTAAAAAGTGAGAAACCTCAGGGAGGCCCACTCTGAGGGAGGGTCCACTTCCATGGACTGACGGGCTCTGGCTCCAGGACTAAGGCAGTAGAACCAGGACTCAGGCAGTAGAACCAGGACTCAGGCTGTAGACCCAGGACTGAGGCTGTAGACCCAGGACTGAGGCTGTAGACCCAGGACTGAGGCTGTAGACCCAGGACTGAGGCTGTAGATCCAGGACTGAGGCTGTAGACCCAGGACTGAGGCTGTAGACCCAGGACTGAGGCTGTAGACCCAGGACTCAGGCTGTAGAACCAGGACTGAGGCTGTAGACCCAGGACTGAGGCTGTAGATCCAGGACTGAGGCTGTAGACCCAGGACTGAGGCTGTAGACCCAGGACTCAGGCTGTAGAACCAGGACTGAGGCTGTAGAACGAGGACTCAGGCTGTAGAACCAGGACTCAGGCTGTAGAACGAGGACTCAGGCTGTAGAACCAGGACTCAGGCTGTAGAACCAGGACTCAGGCTGTTGAACCAGGACTCAGGCTGTAGAACGAGGACCGAGCCCACACGGTGCAGGACAGATTAAAAGGCTGTCTCACATTTTCAGAAAGGCTTCATACTATATTCTAGCTGCTCATACAGGTTGTTTGCTTGTTGTTTGAAACCTACACAGACACGGGGAGAACATGCAAACTCCACACTCCAGAAAGGCTCTGTCTGGAGGTGGAACCGAACCCAGGACCTTCTTGCTGTGAGGCACAAGCGCTAACCACTGCGACACCGCGCTGCATATATTACTAATGATATACTTAATTCTTTCCTCTTTGTTTTGCTAAAGTTAGATATTTCTCCACTATGGGCCGAATAAAAGATCTATTAATCTTAATCTTAATCTTAAAACCCAATTTTAAAACTTCCCATTGAAATGAACGGTCCGTGACTTCCCTCCAGCCTCGTTCATTAGTAACCGTCATTAACCAGTCTTTCTGATTCTCGCTCCAGAACCCGGGACGTCGGCTCATCCATGTTTGACATTATGAAAATGTAGGTTTTAAATCAGCGGGAAGCACTATTTCCATAAATGCATATCATTATGAGCCCGCCCCCTGCGCCGCGGCGTGTGCCGGGTTTCTCTTGTCTCTCGCCTCTCTCCTGTTTATTGTTTCATTTTGACGACTGAGAAGTTTGTTGTGATTTAATTTGATTTAATATGATTATCTAAAAGTGTTTCTGTGTCGCCTCTTTTATCAACGAGAGAAGAAGGCGTTTGTTTCTGTCACTGCGGTAATTACAGTCAGTGTGTGTGTGTGTGTGAAAGAGAGAGAGAGAGAGAGAGAGAGAGAGTGTGTGAGAGAGAGAGAGAGAGAGAGAGTGTGTGAGAGAGAGAGAGAGAGAGTGTGTGTGTGAGAGAGAGAGAGAGAGAGAGAGAGAGTGTGTGAGAGAGAGAGAGAGAGAGAGAGAGAGAGAGAGAGAGAGAGAGAGAGAGTGTGTGTGTGTGAGAGAGAGAGATGAGAGTGTGTGTGAGAGAGAGAGAGAGACACAGGGACAGGATTAGAAGGCCACCACACTCATACACACAACACTCACACACACACTGAAGCAACAAGTGAAGCTTCCTATATTGGGGAATATGCTGATCATGGACAGAAGTAGACCAGAGAGAGAGAACCAAGAGAGACCAGGGAAAACCAGGAGAGAGACCAAAGAGACTAGGAAAGACCAGGGAGAGACACAAGAGACCGAGAGAGACCGAGAGAGAGACCATGGATAGACCAAGTAGAGACCTAGAGAGACCAAGAGAGACCAGAGAGGGACCAGGGAAAGACCAGGGAGAGACCAGAGAGAGACCAAGTGAACCAGAGAGAGCCAGGGAAAGACAGGGAGATACTCAGAGAGAGACATAGAGAGACCATGGAAAGACCAGGGAGAGACCAGAGAGAGACCAAGAGAGGTCTAGAGTCTTGTGTCCTGTCTCGACACTCCTCAGTGGCGGAGCAGGAAGGGCTAGGCAAGTTTAATTGTGTAGCACCCAGTTCATACAGAAGACAATCAAACCAAACAAGAAACAATTAAAATCACAAAGAACTAGAATCATAAACATCCAGAGAGAGACACGGATCCTCCTGGTCCCGGGATGATGGTGGTTCTCACCAACTCCGCCTCAGCCGCTCCATGGTACTTTTTAGTTATGGCTCGACCCTGGTTCTAACAGAGTCAATATCAACACAATCGCATCCACACACAATCATAACAGAGCATAGTGTTTTTGTGTGTGTAGGGCCAAGTCCAGCCCAGCACCAGTCCAGTCCAGCCCAGTTCAGTCCTGCCCAGCCCAGCGCAGTCCAGGCTGCCCAGCCTATCCAGCCCAGTCTAGTCCAGTCCAGTCCAGCCATTCCAGTCCACTGCATGTTCATGATACCAAGTGATTTTCCACATATTTCAATAAAATGAACATTTGTGAGGAACAAGTTCAGGATCCACTGTGAGTCTGAGACTGTTCCAACTCGAGACCATAAGCGACTTCCTGAGCTGAAGAACGGTTCTAACTCTGAAGACCATGAAGCGACTTCTCTGAGTCTGAGACTGTTCCAACTCTGAGACATGAAGCGACTTCTCTGAGTCTGAACTGTTCCAACTCCTGAGACCATGAAGCTCTTCTCTGAGTCTGAACTGTTTTTTTTTTTTCTAACTCGAGACCATTAAGCGACTTCTCTGAGTCTGAGAACTGTTCCAACTCTGAGACATGAAGGCGACTTCTCTTGAGTCTGGAGACTGTTCTAACTCGGAGACCATGAAGCGACTTCTCTGAGTCTGAGACGTTCCAACTCTGAACCATGAAAGCGACTTTTCTGAGTCTGAGACTGTTTCTAACTCTGAGACCAATAAGCACTTCTCCTATCTGAGACTGTTTCTAACTCTGAGACCATGAAGCGACTTCTCTGAGTCTGGACTGTTCCAACTCTTATACCATGACGCGACTTCACTGATCTGAGACTGTTCTAACTCTTATACCATGAACGACTTTCTCTGAGTTCTGACACTGTTCACCTCTGAGACCATGAAACGACTCTCTGAGTCCCTGAGACTGTTCCAACTCCTGAGACCATGAAGCGACTTCACTGAGTCTGAGAACTGTTCTAACTCTGAGACCCATCAAGCGACTCTCTGAGTCTGAGACTGTTTCCAACTTCTGAGACCATCGAAGGGAAGGAAGCGACTTCTCTGAGTCCTGACACTGTTCTAACTCTGAGACCATGAAGCGACTTCTCTGAGTCTGAACTGTTCGAACTCTGAGACCATAAGCGACTTCTACTGAGTCCTGAGACTGTTCTAACTCTGAGACCATGAAGCGACGTTCTCTAGTCTGACACTGTTCTAACGCTGAGACCAGTGAATCGACTTCTCTGAGTCTGAGACTGTTCCCAACTCTGAGACCATGAAGCGACCTCTCTGATTCCGAGACTGTTTCAACTTGAGACCAGGAAGCGACTTCTCTGAGTCTGACACTGGTCTAAAATCTGAACCATGAAGCGACTTTTCTAGTCTGAGACTGTTCCAACTCTGAGACCATGAAGCGACTTCTCTGAGGCGAGGACTGTTCCAACTCTGAGACCATGAAGCGACTTCTCTAGTCAGAAACTGTTCCATCTCTGAACCAATGAAGTGGACCTTCTCTGAGTCTGAGACTGTTCCTACTCTGACACATGAAGCACTTCTATGAGTCTGACAAGTTCTAACTCTGTGACCATGAAGTCGACTTCGCTGAAGTCTGAGACGGTTTCCAACTCTGAGACATGAAGCGACTTCTCTGAGTCTGAGACTGTTCCAACTCTGAGACCATGAAGCGAGCTTCTCTGATTCTGAGACTGTTCCCCACTCTGAGACCAATAATGAAGCGACTTCTCTGAGTCTGATACTGTTCCCAACTCTGAGACCATGAAGCGACGTCTCTGAGTCTGAGACTGTTCCAACTCTGAGGTGGTATCTGGTGTATCATGGCTTTCTTGTATCAAAGGTATCATTACGTCTGAGTCCCAGTCTAGTCCACCCTAGTCAAGTCCATCCATTCTAGTTCCATTCAAGCCAGTCGTCCAGTCCAGTCCATTCCGAGTCCATTCAGTCCCATTTGAGTCCAGTCCATCCCTTCGAGTTCAGGAAGTCACTCCGCAACGAGATCTGTCAATCCTCACCCTTCATCAAGCCTGATAATTTACAAGAAAGGAAGCTTCATTCGTGCATCAACCCGCCTCCTCCACCAACCAGAGAGAGACCAGAGAGAGGCCAGAAAGAGACCAGAGAGAGACCAGGGTGAACCAGACAGAGACCAGAGAGAGACAGAGAGAGACCAGAGACCCAAGAGAGACCAGGAGAGACAGGGAGAGAACCAGAGAGAGACCTGGAGAGAGACCATGGAAGACCAGAGAAAGACCAAGAGAGACCAAGGGAGAGACCAGAGAGAGACCAGCGAGTGACCAGGGAGAGACCAGAGAAAGACCAAAAAAAAAAGGGAGAGAGACCAGCAGAAGACCAGGGTGAGACTGAGAGAGAGACCAGAGAAGACCAGAGAGAGACCAGGGAGAGACCCAAGAGAGACACACACACAGAGACAGAGAGAACCAGAAGAGACCAGAGGAGAGGCCAGAGAGAGACCAGGGAGAGACCAGAGAGAGAACCAAGAGAGACCAGAGAGAGACCAGGGGAGACCAGAGAGAGACCAGAAAGACCAGAGAGAACCAGAGAGATACGCAGGGAGAGACCAGGAGAGAGACGCAGGGAGAGACCAGGGAGAAACCAGAGAGAGACGCATAGAAGACCAGAGAGACCAGAAAAGACAGAGAGAGACCAGGGAGAGACCAGGGAGATACCAGAGAGAGAGCCAGAAGACCAGAGAAGAGACCAGAGATAGACCAGAGAGAGACCAGAGAGACCAGAGAGAGACCATAGAACCAAGAGACTAAGAGAGACCAGGGAGACTGAGAGAGATACCGAGTGAAGACCAGAGAGAGTCCAGAGACAGACAGAGAGAGACCAGAGAGATACCAGAAGAGATCAGGAGAGACCAGAGAGAGACCAGGGAGATAGACCAGAGAGATCAAGAGAGCCAGAGAGAGACCCAGAGAGAGACCAAGAGATACCCAGAGAGAGACATGGGAGAGACAGAGAGAAACCAGGGAGAGAAAGAAGAGACCAGGAGAAGACACAGAGAGAGACCAAGGAGAGACCAGGGAGAAACCAGAGATGTGACCATAAAGAGAGACCAGACAGAGACCAGAGAGACCAGAGAGAGACCAGAGAGAGACCAGGAGAGACTAGAGAGAGACCAGATAGAGACCAGGAGAGACCAGAAGATACCAGAGAATACCAAGAGAGACCAGAGAGAGACCAAGAGAGACCAAGAGAGACCCTAGAGATAACCAGAGAGAGAATCTGAAACCAGAGAGAGACCAGGGAGAGACCGAGAGAAGATACCAGAGAGAGACCAGAGAGAGGCCAGAGAGAGCACCAGAGAGATACCAGAGAGAGACCGGGAGAGACATAGAGAGACCAGGGTGGACCAGAGAGAGACCAGAGAGAGACCAAGAGAGACCAGAGATGGAACCAGAGAGAGACCAAGAGAACAATAGAGACTCAGGGAGAGACAAGAGAGATACCAGAGAGAGACCCAGAGAGAGCAAGTGATACCAGAGAGAGATAAGGGAGAGACCAGAGAGAGACCAGGGAGATATCCAGAGAGATACCAGAGAGAGACGCAGAGAGAGGCCAGAGAGAGACCAGAGAGATACCAGAGAGAGGACCAGGAAGACCAGAGAGAGACCAGGAGAGACCAGAAGAGACCAGAGATTACCAGAGAGAGGCCAGAAGAGACCAAGAGATACCATAGAGAGACCAGGGAGAGACCAAGAGAGAGACAGGGAGAGACCAGAGAGTGATCGAAGGGGGGGGGGGGGGGTGGGGAAAGGAAAGAGAAGAGACGAAAACAGGAGAGACCAGAATACCAGAGAGAGACCAGAGAGAGACCAGTGAGAGAACAAGAGAGAGACCAGAGAGAGACCAATAGAGACCAGAGAGAGACCAGAGAGAGACCAGAGATGGACAGAGAGAGACCATAAGAGTCCAGAGAGACCAAGAGAGACCAAGACACCAGAGAGAGACCCAAATAGAGACCGGAGAGAGACAAGCTGTGACAGCCGTTGTGGACTACGTCCTGTCCCCAGTGGATCCGGACTACCTCACAGACAGACCCCAGTTCGGGGGGGGGGGGGGGGGGGGGTGTGAGAACCAGGGACTTTGTGTCTGAGGTCATGACCTGCAGTGTGGGCCCCCTGGGACTTCATACACAACACGGTCCGGGTTGTGTCCCTCCAGAAGTTCCTCCAACGACTCTGCCATCATCGACTCAGCTCCGAGGACGATGACACAGATACAGAGGTAGGTTATACAGACTTTGTGGACGAGATAGACCAAGGAGATGAACCCCTCCTCAATTCAACAGAAGACCAAAGGAGTGAACCACCTCCTCATCAACAGAAGACCAGGAGATGAACCACCTCCTCATCAACAGAAGACCAAGGAGATGAACCACCTCCTCATCAACAGAAACCAAGGAGATGAACCACCTCCTCATCATCAGAAGACCAAGGAGTATGAACCACCTCCTCTTCAACAGAAGAACAAGGAGGATGAACCACCTCCTCATCAACAGAAGACCAAGGGATGAACCACCTTCTCATCAACAGAAGACCAAGGAGATGAACCACCTCCTCATCAACAGAAGACCAAGGAGATGAACCACCTCCTCATCAACAGAAGACCAAGGAGAAGAACACCTCCTCATTCAACAGATGACCAAGAGAAGAACCCACCTCCTCATCAACAGAAGTCCAAGGAGAGGAACCTCCTCTTCATCAACAGAAGACCCAAGGAGATGAACCAACCTTCTCATCAAAAGAAGGCCAAGGAGAAGAACCACCTCCTCATCAACGTGAGGAAGACCAAGGGAAGATGACCACCTCCTCATCAACGGCGGGAATACTAAGGAGATGAACCACCTCCCTCATCAACGCGGGAAGACTAAGAATGAACCACCTCCTCATCACGTGAGGAAGACCCAAGGAGATGGTGGTGGTTTTCCGCAGACAGTCACTCTGCCCGCTCCAGCTCCAGTGAACATCCAGGAAAGGACATCGAGAGAGTGGTCTCGCTTACAAGTACCGTGGGTGTTCATCTGGAACACAAACTGGACTGGAGTCATAACACAGACGCCCCCTTCAAGAAAGGCTCAGATGCCGCGGCTACCTGCTGAGGAGGCTCAGGTCTTTTGGAGAGCAGGGGCCACTCGCTAAACCTTTCAATGACACCTGTGGTGGAGCACTTGTACGGTGTGTCTGCGGAACAGCAGAATCACAGAGAGGACAGGAAAGAAGCTGGACAAGGTTTCAGGAAGTCCGCTCAGTCCCTGGGCTGTTCCACTGGACACAGTGCAGCAGGTGGGTGACAGGAGGTCCTGAGGCAAACGAACATCTATGCTGGACCTGACTGGCGCCCCCTGAGGACCTCTCTATGGCTGGAGAGCAGCTTCAGTGACAGACTAGATTCACTCCTCGCTGTGTGAAGGAGAGGTTTGACAGGTCCTTCTTCCTTGGGCTTGTTGCTCCGGAGGAGCATTCTGGTGGGGTGCTTACGTTTGTTGTGTCCTGTATTTTTTGTCGGATGGTGGTTGAATATGTAGAGTTCGTATCTCCTTTCAGATTTCGTGGTCTTGTGTATTCTTATTTCTTTAACTTTTTTTGCGAGCTTTTGTGGAGTTTTGTGTGTATGCATGTTTTGCTTTTGTTCATGTAGTGGACGCTGTTTATGTTGTTTTGGTTATGTAGTAGTTGTCTTAGCTTTTCTCTTTCTGCTAGGTGTTCACTTGAACTTCCGTTGCTTTTTCTTGTTGTGTATAGAGGAGGAAGATGTTTAACAAATGTAATCCGCTGGAAAGGGGAATTGTGGCGCCCTTGTCCCCACGGGTACTTACCGTGTTGTTGTTAGCGGGAAGAAAAACGAGGAAAAAAAAAGGGAAAAGGAGGGATTGGCTAATGCTGGCTAAATGCGAACGACACACTCGGGCTCATTACAAACGTCACAGTAAACTCAGATCCAATGGTTTCAATCTGCAAAAGGAGTTAGCCCCTCCCACCTGTTCACGGAGTCAATGGAGCAAATCCAGACCTTAGTACGACATGTAATTAGTACTATGGTGTGGTACGACCAGGCTAGAAATATATAGTTGTATGTTTCATCTGTACATATTGGCAGCAGCATGTTAGCATCTGTTCATGTTAGCATCACGAGGCTTTGGACATAACACAGTCTGGAGGTGGATCCGTCCCAGTTTTACATATACACAAACTGCTCTTCCACAGGCTTTCTCTCCTTATGCTAATGTTGTGTGTGTGTGTGTGTGTGTGTGTGTGTGTGTGTGTGTGTGTGTGTGTGTGTGTGTGTGTGTGTGTGTGTGTGTGTGTGTGTGTGTGTGTGTGTGTGTGTGCGTGTGTGTGTGTGAAGCCCTGTGAAGCTCAGAGAAACACACACAGAGCGGTGTGTGGAGGACGTGTGGCGCCCGCCTGAGTAGTTAGCGCTATTTGTTATTTTAAAGCCTGAAACAAGGTGTTACATTTGTCTGACCCCGCTCCGGAGTGAGTTCCGATGAGCTGTTTGTAATTGGAGAGAGCAAGGGGAGGCAGATCTGATGCAGCAGGAACATTCTCTGCACGCTCCGGACTCTGCCTGATGTTTAATTCATCAGGCAGTGGCCCAAAGCAGAGAGCACAGAGAGCCTCAGTCAGGAAGCCCAGGACAGAGAGAGAGAGAGAGAGAGATGAGAGATGAGAGAGAGGAGAGAGAGAGGCGAGAGAGGAGAGAGAGAGAGAGAGAGAGAGAGAGGGTGAGAGAGAGAGAGAGAGAGAGAGGTGAGAGGAGTGAGAGAGAGAGAGGTGAGAGAGAGAGACGTAGAGAGGAGAGAGGGAGTGAGAGAGAGAGAGAGAGAGAGAGAGGAGGTGGAGAGAGTGAGAGAGAGAGAGAGAGAGAGAGAGGGTGAGAGAGAGAGAGAGAGAGAGAGAGGGGTGTGCGAGAGAGAGAGAGAGAGAGAGAGAGAGAGGGTGAGAGAGAGAGAGAGAGAGGAGAGAGAGAGAGAGAGAGAGAGAGAGAGAGAGAGAGAGAGAGAGAGAGGAGAGAGAGAGGAGAGAGAGGGGGTGAGAGAGAGGAGAGAGAGAGAGAGGGGTGAGGGAGAGAGAGAGTGATAGAGAGAGAGAGGAGAGAGGAGAGAGAGAGGGATGAGAGAGAGAGAGGTGAGAGAGAGTAGAGAGGAGTGAGAGAGAGAGAGAGTGAGGGAGGAGGGTGAGAGAGAGAGGAGGAGAGGGGGGGAGAGAGAGTGAGAGTGAGAGAGAGAGAGGAGGAGAGGGTGGAGAAGAGAATGAGAGAGGAGAGAGAGAGAGGGGAGAGAGAGAGAGGGAGAGGAGAGGAGAGAGTGAGGGAGAGGAAGAGAGAGGGAGAGAGAGAGCGAGAGAGAGGAGGGAGAGAGGAGAGAGAGAGCGAGAGGGTGGGGGAGGGTGAGAGAGAGAGAGAGGGGGGGGAGAGAGAGAGAGGGTGAGAGAGTGAGAGAGAGAGAGAGAGAGAGAGAGAGAGAGAAGAGAGGAGAGAGAGATCGAGAGAGAGAGACGAGGAGAGAGAGAGAGAGAATGTATGTAAGAGAAGGAGACGCACAGAGAGAGAGAGGAGAGGAGAGAGAGAGAGAGAGAGAGGAGAGAGAGAGAGGAGAAAGAGAGAGAGGAGAGAGAGAGAGAGAGAGGGAGAGAGAGAGAGAGAGAGAGAGAATGTATGTAAGAGAAGGAGAGCACCAGAGAGAGAGGAGAGAGAGAGAGAGAGAGAGAGAGAGAGAGAGAGAGAGAGAGAGAGAGAGAGAGAGAATGTATGTAAGAGAAGGAGACGCACCAGAGAGAGAGAGAGAGAGAGAGAGAGAGAGAGAGAGAGAGAGAGAGAGAGAGAGAGAGAGAGAGAGAGAGAGAGAGAGAGAGAGAGAGAGGGTACAGTGAAGGTGAGCAGCAGAGGCACATGGATGACTCATGTTGATGAAAACAGAATATATTATTGATGCTCAGAAGTCGTTGGAAGCAGAGATTCACTTTTGTTTATAAATAGCGCTGACGGTGAAGAACCAAAGACACAGAACACACTTCCTGGTCTGAAGCAGCTCCACAGTGTTTCCTGAACATGGATCTATAATAACATCTGGATAGAGTATTATTAGTTTGGAGCTGTACCACCAACGGCCACAGGGGGCGCCCACGGTACTGCAGGCTCAATTCACCCAGAAAAATGTCCCATAGAACTCAATGTAAACTAAAACAGCTCGACTTCAGCTGACAGAGAACCTGACAGAGAACCTGACAGAGAACCTGACAGAGAACCTGACAGAGAACCTGACAGAGAACCTGACAAAGAACCTGACAGAGAACCTGACAGAGAACCTGACAGAGAACCTACAGCTTTCATAAAGAAGGATTTTGTGGGTATTTTAGTGTCCCTTGTCGTCCTGAACTTTTTTTCTTCTTAAATCCTTCAGTTTTCTCTGAATCCACACTTTACTGCCACAAACTCTGCTTGTTTGCCTCCTGCTCAAACGCTGCCCTCTGATTGGTCAGTAGCTGCTCTCTGATTGGTCAGTAGCTGCTCTCTGATTGGTCAGTAGCTGCTCCTCTGTGCACGTGCATGAGAGCCACATATGTACATTTGGTGCAGAGATGGAGAGGGAGAGAGAGAGTGTGTGAGAGAGGGAGAAAGCGAGAGAGAGAAAGAGAGAGAGGGAGAGGGAGTGTCTGAGAGAGGGAGAAAGCGAGAGAGAGAAAGAGAGAGAGGGAGAGGGAGTGTGTGAGAGAGAGGGAATATGAGGGGGAGAGAGTGTGAGAGTGAGGGAGAGAGAGAGGGAGAGAGAGTGTGTGAGAGAGAGGGAGAAAGAGAGAGTGTGTGAGAGACGGAGAGGGAGAGAGAGAGAGAGAGAGGGGGGGAGCGAGTTAAAGAGAGAGAGAGATGGAGAGGGAGTGTGTGAGAGAGGGAGAAAGCGAGAGAGAGAAAGAGAGAGAGAAAGAGAGAGAGAGAGAGGGAGGGAGGGAGAGAGAGAGAGTGTGTGAGAGAGGGAGAAAGCAAGAGAGAGAGACCAGAGAGAGACCAGAGAGAGACCAGAGAGTGACCAGAGAGAGACAAGTAAGAGAGGTAGAGAGACTAGAGAGAGACCAGAGAGAGACCAGAGAGAGACCAGAGAGAGACCAGAAAGAGAGACCAGAGAGAGACCAGAGAGAGACCAGAGAGAGACCAGAGAGAGACCAGAGAGAGACCAGAGAGACCAGAGAGACCAGAGAGAGGCCAGAGAGAGACTAGAGAGACCAGAGAGAGGCCAGAGAGAGACCAGAGAGAGACCAGAAAGAGACCAGAGAGAGACCAGAGAGAGACCAGAGAGAGACCAGAGAGAGACCAGAGAGAGACCAGAGAGAGACAAGAGAGAGACACCAGAAAGAGACAAGAGAGAGACTAGAGAGAGAGACCAGAGAGACCAGAGATAGACAAGTAAGAGAGGGAGAGAGACCAGAGATAGTAAGAGAGAGAGACCAGAAAGAGGGACCAGGGAGAGACCAGAGAGAGAGAGAGACTAAAGAGAGACCAGCGATAGACTAGTAAGAGAGGGTAAGAGGGACTGGAGAGAGACCAGGGAGAGACCAGAGAGAGAGACTAGAGAGACCAGAGAGACCAGAGAGAGAGACTTAGATATCGTCGCCCGACTGAAGGGGCGTCGATCCCAGCACTTGAAAGTCGTGCACTTGTCTGGAGCCGTCAGCCGTCGTCTGAAACTCCAACTTGAGCAAATCCCCTGAGCCGCTGTTGTGTTCTGAATGAGCAATTATTTCCCATTAGGAGGATATTTTTGAGCGAGATCCGAGCCCTGGCAGCAGCACTGGAGAGGCAGCATTAGACGTGATGCACATCAAAACCAAATTAAATCTCATTAACAAAGAACCATTATGGAAAAACCAGTCGTCGGCATTTATCTTCACTACTGGCTCCCAAAAGTTTGCACAAAAACAGAACCATTTGTGAGAAGTTAGAGTCTGACAGTGATCTGCAAATACCATGATCAGAAACAACATGGCCTCAGTTTAAGAACCATTAGTTTAAGAACCATTAACCTCAAAGGACAAAACAGTTTTTTATAAATGTGATATTTATGACCTAAATATGTACAGAGACAACTATCAATTTGTGGTTATGTCTTCTCTTGCCCTTTTCTAAGTGAGGCACACTGGTCTCTCTCTCTGGTCTGTCTCTGGTCTCTCTCTGGTCTGTCTCTGGTGTCTCTCTGGTCTCTCTCTGGTCTCTCTCTGGTCTGTCTCTGGTGTCTCTCTGGTCTCTCTCTGGTCTCTCTCTGGTCTCTCTCTGGTCTGTCTCTGGTCTCTCTCTGGTCTCTCTCTGGTCTCTCTCTGGTGTCTCTCTGGTCTCTCTCTCTGGTCTGTCTCTGGTCTGTCTCTGGTCTCTCTCTGGTCTCTCTCTGGTCTCTCTCTGGTGTCTCTCTGGTCTCTCTCTAGTTTGTCTCTAGTCTTTCTCTGGTCTCTCTCTGGTCTCTCTCTCTGGTCTCTCTCCAGTCTCTCTCTGGTCTCTCTCTGGTCTCTCTCTGGTCTCTCTCTGGTCCCCCTGTCTGGTTTCTCTCTCTCCGGTCTCTCTCTCTGTTCTCTCTCTTTGTTACATCACATAAACGCTCAAAATTCTTTCTTTGTTTTAAATGTGTATGTTTTCTGTTTTGACAGTTCTGGCTCATGAAGCTATAATCTGGAACAGGCTTCTACTCTATCAGCGCATAGGGCTTCACTCTGTTTAATGTACTGTTATTTCTTACGGTTTTAGCTTCTTGAAATAATAAATAGATAAAGTAGGTTTGCCTTAAAATACATATGATTTTTTTTTTGCCAATTAAAGTAATTTCTTTGTTTTTCGTTGCCAAACTTTCAGTCTTTCCGTTTTGCTAATTGCGACCACGGAAAAACCCTTCTCGCGTCTCATTTATAACGTCGTATCCAGATAAATTTACCCTCTCTGTCTCCGTTTCCCGTCTCAGCGTGAGACGGGGGACTCCTCCGGGCTCCTCTGCTCGGTACGAAGCCCCGCACTGGGATGACTTAATTACCGGGAACAAAGAGACGCCAATTATAAGAGAAACAGGAGGCGCAGAGAAAGTGTCAGGGTTTAGTACGGACTGAGTCTGTGTGTGGGCTTCACCGACACTGGAACCATGAGACTGGGACATCTGCAGCCACTGGAACCATGAGACTGGGACATCTGCAGCCACTGGAACCATGAGACTGGGACATCTGCAGCCTCTGGAACCATGAGACTGGGACATCTGCAGCGAGAGAGACTAGAGAGAAACCAGAGAGAGACCAGAGAGGGACCAGAGAGAGACCAGAGAGAGACCAGAGAGAGACCAGAGAGAGACCAGAGAGAGACCAGAGAGAGACTAGAGAGAGACTAGAGAGAGACTAGAGAGAGACCAGAGAGAGACCAGAGAGAGACCAGAGAGAGACCAGAGAGAGACCAGAGAGAGACTAGAGAGAGACTAGAGAGAGACCAGAGAGAGACCAGAGAGAGACTAGACCGATATCGGAGAGAGACCAGAGAGGGACCAGAGAGGGACCAGAGAGAGACAAGAGAGAGACTCGAGAGAGAGACCAGAGAGAGACCAGAGAGACACCAGAGAGAGACCAGAGAGAGACTAGAGAGAGACCAGAGAGAGACTAGAGAGAGACTAAAGAGAGACCAGAGAGAGACCAGAGAGAGACAAGAGAGAGACTCGAGAGAGAGACCAGAGAGAGACCAGAGAGACACCAGAGAGAGACCAGAGAGAGACTAAAGAGAGACCAGAGAGAGACTAGAGAGAGACAAGAGAGAGACTCGAGAGAGAGACCAGAGAGAGACTAGAGAGAAACCAGAGAGAGACTAGAGAGAGACCAGAGAGAGACCAGTCAAAACGCTTATTGAGCTCGAGGAGTTTACTTTTCAATGTAAGTCAATAAAAGCCAGTTGGAGCCAAACTTTGTCCATGAGCACTTTCCGATTGAGCTTCGTTCATGTCATAGTATTGTCCATCTGTGTATAGTCTATGTCAGCCATTCCCAAACTCAGTAACACCGAGGCCCCCTTAAAAATCTGACGGGTCTGCGTGGCCCCCCCAAAATAATAACCAAGAAGACAACATTAAGAATAGGCTCTTCTGGTTATTTTATTTTGGGGAAATAGCCTGTGCTACAAACATTGTAATACAAAAATTATTACAGTGGATTATTCAAGTCAAATAATGAACACAAATATTTTAATATTACAAACAAAACATTATAAATTTAACATTAAATAATTATATTATTTTTTTTATTTTTTTATGACCTCCCGCGGCCCCCCTGCAGTACCCTCGCGGCCCACCAGGGGGCCGCGGACCCCACTTTGGGAGACACTGGTCTATGTATATCAGTCACTTACGATGAAAACAAATATAATGTCGTACTTATCATCTGGTTGAAGTCCTTAATGTGAAGTTTATACAGTTTTAAAAAAGTATAATATTCATTTTGATGCTACGCTGTTGTTCCAATTTCAGTTTCACCGCTTTTTAGTTTTGTGATTTCTCAGTTCTAAGTTTATAAGTTGGCTGTTCTCACTCCATCAGAGGCTCAGGGAGACGCTTCCTTCTGTAACTTTCACTTCCTCTTCGTAAATCTCTGGCGTCTTTACATTCTTCTGACAAACGCTGGTTCCTCCGACATTAGCAAAGCGCTCTCTTAAAAAGGATAATTCTCTCAGAAACCTCTTGGCAGTTGATGTTGGGATAATTAGACTGTGCTGTTTGACGAGGCGCTGTCCACGGTGCTGAATCCATGTTTCGCCTCATTTCAGTACATTTGTCTAAATCAGGTCCACATTTGTTCAGCAAATGAACAACAGAAGAGTTGGAGTTATGCTAATTTTTACCTATTTCACACACTTGAGTTCAGCTGCATTTTTCATTTTACTAATCAAGCTTTGTTTAGTCCAACTTTAGTTAAATGAAGATAGTTACAACGTGTGTGTTTGCAAACCCATTTCCTCCACATTAGTCACATTAGTCCAGTTTCCAGGCGCTGGCTTCCTGCGGCTCAGAGAATAGACTTTAAAGCTGCTCTGTTTGTTACAAGTCTCTCCATGGCCTCAAAGTTCATCTGAGACATGTTAGAGCCATAAGAACCAACTCTGAGGAGCACAGGGACTGGCCTCCTGCTGGGACTTTGAAGAGCACAGGGACTGGACTCCTACTGTGGACTCTGAGGAGCACAGGGACTGGCCTCCTGCTGGGACTCTGAGGAGCACAGGGACTGGCCTCCTGCTGGGACTCTGAGGAGCACAGGGACTGGACTCCCTGATTTTAAGGCTTTCTTGTTCAGCACTTTGAGTTGCCTTTGTATGGACTGTGCTATACAAATAAACTTGCCTTGCTTTTATTAGATTTCTTGCTAATTCAGATTTCTATAACACCACGAATAATCAGTTTCTCTCCGACACACGTCTCTAAACCCAACACGAAACTACCCTCGGTTTCCAAAGTGAACCAATCTATTCATTTCAATCACTTGACTATTTGTATCCCCTTGTTCCGTGGTTCAAACAGTAAAAACGACCTCCCTGCAAAATAAAAGGCAGCATTTCTCTTTGTTAGCTTTGAGCCGGCGCCGCATTGTAACCTTGACATAATCCTTTGTGCTCAGCGATCCTCCGTCGCTCCGTCTCTCTCTGCTCCGCGGGCCTCGCTCCACAACAATAGCCTCATTATTGCACCTGGGAAAGTGTTTTCTCACAAATGGACTCCTACAGCAGAGTGATGTCACATATCGGAGGAGTTGCGAGAGCGCGCGGGCTTATGGCACTGCGGCACATCAGTCGGCTAATGGATAGATAAATAAATCGGGCTGCGGGAGACAATCTGTACAAATGCTTTAGTGGGAGACTCGCCGCTCAGTACCGTCCCTCTCTGCGGCACAGGGACGGGCGGGATTTGCATAATAGCACTTGAAAGTTCCGTTATTATTCTATTTTTATACGTACAGTTTGGTGGATAATTCTGTTTTCCTTCAAACAACACTCCACGCCATTGAAGGGGTGGAAATATGCATAAACTATTCATAACGCCCGGTCCACATAAACGCAAAAGCCGATCTAAAATAACTCCTGGTGCTGCGTGGGGTCTACTGAGCAGCCAGGCGTGAGATTACAATTCAAAGTTTAATATCTGGATGGTCCTCACAGCTCAAATTCATACAGACTTTCAATTGTATCTGTGTCTGTGTGATTTATGACCACGCTGCGTCTGCTTGTTACCATGAAAGGCCAGAGTTTCCCCGTTTTATTCCCTCAAGCTGGAGCCTCACATGGTGTCGGCCGGAGGAGGTGAGGATGAAAGACACATTTATTTTTCCATGAGAGATTAAATACTCTGTAATGGTGTCTACCTGCTTCTGGTTGACACAAAACCCGTGTTTAGGTAATAGTAAAAGTGTCCACCAGAGAGACGGAACAATTCATCTCTGAAATGGACCACGAACAAGATGGAGACAGAAGAAAGCCGTCAGAGCTTGTCAATTGTCAAAGCCTCAGATCATGTTGCGGAAGTCAATTATTACTAAAGAAGGCAAAATTAAGTTTATTTACTGTATATAGGCAACTAAAAGTGCTGAACAAAACAAGACTGAAATAATTGCACAAGACGTTAAAAATCATAAATAATCACAGTAGTAAAGATACAGTCTCCCCCTAGTCCTGACTCTGGGACCAGCAGGAGGCCAGTCCCTGTGCTCCTCAGAGTCCCAGCAGGAGGCCAGTCCCTGTGCTCCTCAGAGTCCCAGCAGGAGGCCAGTCCCTGTGCTCCTCCGAGTCCCAGCAGGAGGCCAGTCCCTGTGCTCCTCCGAGTCCCAGCAGGAGGCCAGTCCCTGTGCTCCTCAGTCCCAGCAGGAGGCCAGTCCCTGTGCTCCTCAGAGTCCCAGCAGGAGGCCAGTCCCTGTGCTCCTCAGAGTCCCAGCAGGAGGCCAGTCCCTGTGCTCCTTCTCCCCACAGTACCAGAGTGTATAAATGATATCCATGAGTTTCCGAAGTCAAACTTGAAGCAGGTCCTTCTCTCTCAGGTCGACGCTGATGTCTCCAGAATGAAAGGGGCATCGATCATAAAAGCATCAAACACGGTTCTGTTTATTCTGACTTCAGGCGAGAGGAGCCTCACATCACACACTTCACACACACTTTGAGTTTAAAGAAGTCGCAGACACAGAAACACACCTTTCATGTTTATTAAGACGCTTTCATTATCCCTGGAATCCTCACATTATGTTCTCTTTCGGTTTTACAGGTTTCTGTCGATGGACGTAGCTTTCTACTAAAGTTATTTAAACCTCTGCCTTTTTTTTAATCACGGACTGAAGTTGGTACTTTTTTAACTTTGTCTTGAAACTGAACTGCGTACTTCAACTTAAAGTACTTAAAACAAAACTGGACTTTTGCTGAATCTGAACTCAAATAATAATGCATCGGTTTTGCACAGAGTCTTTCAGGTCCTTAAGTCTCATCACAACATTATTCTTTCAAACACGGTGGTGATAAACTACTACTGTAGCCACAGCTGCCCTGGGGCACACTGACAGAAGTGAGGCCACCAGTCTGTGCCATCAGCCCCTCCGACCACCACCAACCATTCACACACACACCAGACTCATTCTAATGTGGGGGAAGTGTCTTGCCTAAGGACACAACCGCACCCGCCCCAGTCTGGGACCTGGTGTTCCCAAAGGTCTCCCATCACAGCACTAACCAGACCCTGCCATGCTTAGTTTCAGAGGTTTGACAGGATCTAGCTTTCACATGTAAGTATGGCCACACATAGACAAAGTAGGGTTAAGTGTCTTGCCCAAGGACACAATGACAACAGACATGCCATTTTTTTCCAATACATAATTTTAAAAACATAAACTTCTTCGTGGTTCAGTGGGTCCTGCATTGTCCTGAAGGTTTTGGGTTTGAGTCCACCACAAAACCTATGTCGTTGTGTCCTTGGGCAAGACACTTAACCCCACTTTGTCTGAAGCCCCCACTGAAAACAGTAAAGACACTCAACCCTCTTCACTGTGAGAGGATCAGAGCTGTTTTAGATGCCAAACTTTTGCCGTTTTGCATTTTTCCTCCTGTGGCTGCAGCTGTGTGATGCGTCTGTGGCTGCAGCTGTGTGATGCGTCTGTCGTCGCAGCTGTGTGATGCGTCTGTGGCTGCAGCTGTGTGATGCGTCTGTGGCTGCAGCTGTGTGATGCGTCTGTGGCTGCAGCTGTGTGATGCGTCTGTCTCTGCAGCTGTGTGATGCTTCTGTCTCTGCAGCTGTGTGATCCGCCTGTCTCTGCAGCTGTGTGATGCGCCTGTGGCTGCAGCTGTGTGATGCGCCTGTCTCTGCAGCTGTGTGATCCGCCTGTCTCTGCAGCTGTGTGATGCGCCTGTGGCTGCAGCTGTGTGATGCGTCTGTCGTCGCAGCTGTGTGATGCGTCTGTGGCTGCAGCTGTGTGATGCGTCTGTGGCTGCAGCTGTGTGATGCGTCTGTCTCTGCAGCTGTGTGATGCTTCTGTCTCTGCAGCTGTGTGATCCGCCTGTCTCTGCAGCTGTGTGATGCGCCTGTGGCTGCAGCTGTGTGATGCGCCTGTGGCTGCAGCTGTGTGATGCGCCTGTCTCTGCAGCTGTGTGATCCGCCTGTCTCTGCAGCTGTGTGATGCGCCTGTGGCTGCAGCTGTGTGATGCGTCTGTCGTCGCAGCTGTGTGATGCGTCTGTGGCTGCAGCTGTGTGATGCGTCTGTCGTCGCAGCTGTGTGATGCGTCTGTGGCTGCAGCTGTGTGATGCGTCTGTGGCTGCAGCTGTGTGATGCGTCTGTCGTCGCAGCTGTGTGATGCGTCTGTGGCTGCAGCTGTGTGATGCGTCTGTCTCTGCAGCTGTGTGATGCTTCTGTCTCTGCAGCTGTGTGATCCGCCTGTCTCTGCAGCTGTGTGATGCGCCTGTGGCTGCAGCTGTGTGATGCGCCTGTGGCTGCAGCTGTGTGATGCGCCTGTCTCTGCAGCTGTGTGATCCGCCTGTCTCTGCAGCTGTGTGATGCGCCTGTGGCTGCAGCTGTGTGATGCGTCTGTCGTCGCAGCTGTGTGATGCGTCTGTGGCTGCAGCTGTGTGATGCGTCTGTGGCTGCAGCTGTGTGATGCGTCTGTCGTCGCAGCTGTGTGATGCGTCTGTGGCTGCAGCTGTGTGATGCGTCTGTGGCTGCAGCTGTGTGATGCGTCTGTGGCTGCAGCTGTGTGATGCGTCTGTCTCTGCAGCTGTGTGATGCTTCTGTCTCTGCAGCTGTGTGATCCGCCTGTCTCTGCAGCTGTGTGATGCGCCTGTGGCTGCAGCTGTGTGATGCGCCTGTGGCTGCAGCTGTGTGATGCGCCTCTGGCTGCAGCTGTGAGATGCGCCTGTCGCTGCAGCTGTGTAATGCGTCTGTATCTGCAGCTGTGGGATGCGTCTGTATCTGCAGCTGTGTGATCCGCCTGTCTCTGCAGCTGTGTGATGCGTCTGTGGCTGCAGCTGTGTGATGCGTCTATCTCTGCAGCTGTGTGATGCTTCTGTCTCTGCAGCTGTGTCATGGTGTGTCTCTGCAGCTGTGTGATGCGTCTGTGGCTGCAGCTGTGTGATGCGTCTGTCTCTGCAGCTGTGTGATGCTTCTGTCTCTGCAGCTGTGTGATCCGCCTGTCTCTGCAGCTGTGTGATGCGCCTGTGGCTGCAGCTGTGTGATGCGCCTGTGGTTGCAGCTGTGTGATGCGCCTCTCGCTGCAGCTGTGAGATGCGCCTGTCGCTGCAGCTGTGTAATGCGTCTGTATCTGCAGCTGTGGGATGCGTCTGTATCTGCAGCTGTGTGATCCGCCTGTCTCTGCAGCTGTGTGATGCGTCTGTGGCTGCAGCTGTGTGATGCGTCTATCTCTGCAGCTGTGTGATGCTTCTGTCTCTGCAGCTGTGTCATGGTGTGTCTCTGCAGCTGTGTGATGCGTCTGTGGCTGCAGCTGTGTGATGCTGCAGCTGTGTAATGCGCCTGTGGCTGCAGCTGTGTGATGCGTCTCTGGCTGCAGCTGTGTGATGCTGCAGCTGTGTAATGCGCCTGTGGCTGCAGCTGTGTGATGCGCCTGTGGCAGTTTCATCCTAAACGCCTCTCTGTTGTTCGTATCAAAGGCTGTGTTTCTCACAGATAAAGGTCAGATGTAAGAATCGTTTCTTTCTTTGAAGCACTTTGTTAAAGAAACACGTAAACAACGACACAGACGTCTGGAAACCACAGAATCTAAAGGTTTTGATGTTTGTTTTTTTCACATTTGGCAAGAATTTAGGAACAAAGAACATTATTTAAGGAACTAAAGGCAAGTTTAATTGTTTAGCACAGTTCATACATACTGTCACTCAAAGTGTGTTAGAAAACCAGACGGAAGCATCACACGCTGTCAGACTGTACAATAAGTCACTTGCAGAAGGACTGTTAAACCTGCACTAGTATCGACACTGTTTCTTGATTGACACTTTTTATCGTACATAATATGTCCTGCGTTTAACATGTTGCACATTTCTATCTTTTGCACAATCTGAGTGTCCATGCCAGACCTGACGTGTACATTTCTCCGGAGTGAGATCCATAAAGTCTTAAAAATCTATAAATCTTATCTTATCACTGTCATAAATAATCACAAACATTAAAGAGAGTAATGATACAATCCTTCAGTTGTTGCAGAAACAGAACAGTTTTTAACCTGGATTTGAACATTGTCAGAGAAGAAGACTGTCTCACATTTTCAGGAAGACTGTTCCAGATTTCAGCTGCAATTATTATCTTTTTTCCTATTTAACCTGAATCTAACCAGGAAACATCTAATTGAGATTAAAAGCCTTTTTTTCAAAGGAGTCCTGGCCAAGAGGCAAAGAGCAAAGGTACTGTACCCATGACCACAACAAACAAACGCTGTCTCCTCATGTTTAGTCCTGACTCTGGGACCAGCAGGAGACCAGTCCCTGTGCTCCTCAGAGTCCCAGCAGGAGGCCAGTCCCTGTGCTCCTCAGAGTCCCAGCAGGAGGCCAGTCCCTGTGCTCCTCAGAGTCCCAGCAGGAGGCCAGTCCCTGTGCTCCTCAGAGTCCCAGCAGGAGGCCAGTCCCTGTGCTCCTCAGAGTCCCAGCAGGAGGCCAGTCCCTGTGCTCCTCAGAGTCCCAGCAGGAGTCCAGTCCCTGTGCTCCTCAGAGTCCCAGCAGGAGGCCAGTCCCTGTGCTCCTCAGAGTTGGTTCTTATGGCTCTAACATGTCTCAGATGAACTTTGAGGCCATGGAGAGACTTGTAACAATCAGAGCAGCTTTAAAGTCTATTCTCTGAGCCACAGGAAGCAGAGACCTGAGACCAGGACTAATGTAATGTTACTTCCTGGTTCTAGTCTGGACTAATGTGATGCTACTTCCTGGTTCTTGTCTGGACTAATGTGATGCTACTTCCTGGTTCTAGTCCAGACCAATGTGATGCTACTTCCTGGTTCTAGTCTGGACTAATGTGATGCTACTTCCTGGTTCTTGTCTGGACTAATGTGATGCTACTTCCTGGTTCTTGTCTGGACTAATGTGATGCTACTTCCTGGTTCTAGTCTGGACTAATGTGATGCTACTTCCTGGTTCTAGTCCAGACCAATGTGATGCTACTTCCTGGTTCTAGTCTGGACTAATGTGATGCTACTTCCTGGTTCTAGTCTGGACTAATGTGGTGCTACTTCCTGGTTCTAGTCTGGACTAATGTGATGCTACTTCCTGGTTCTTGTCTGGACTAATGTGGTGCTACTTCCTGGTTCTAGTCTGGACTAATGTGATGCTACTTCCTGGTTCTAGTCTGGACTAATGTGATGCTACTTCCTGGTTCTTGTCTGGACTAATGTGGTGCTACTTCCTGGTTCTTGTCTGGACTAATGTGATGCTACTTCCTGGTTCTAGTCTGGACTAATGTGATGCTACTTCCTGGTTCTAGTCTGGACTAATGTGATGCTACTTCCTGGTTCTTGTCTGGACTAATGTGGTGCTACTTCCTGGTTCTAGTCTGGACTAATGTGATGCTACTTCCTGGTTTGATAGCTCTATGGATGTGTTGTGTGCGATGATCGGGGAGTCAGTATTGAAGTGTGATGCTGCAGAGATCGACACTTTCTCTGACATCAAAGCTCTGAGCACTAATTGGAGCCGACACCGGGCCGGCTGCCAACGCGTGAGAACATCCACACGTCCATTACGGTCGCAGAGGCCACCGAGGCCGAGAGCTCCTTATTGGCACGAAAATCTATGTTCGGCATAATTCAATAAATGTTTTATTTGAGATTAAATATGAATGTCTCTGTGTGTCGCTGTGAAGGTCAGAATCTATACGGACTCTGCAGAAAAACAGCTGCTAATGAAAGGATTCTCATGTTTTTAAAGAGACAAAATGTAGATATTAGTGATTAAGTAAGTATTTTTATTTATAAAGCGCATTTTACAGACCAAGGTGTTGACGGAAGTGAGACGCCAAACACACTGGTCCATCAAAGCCTCCGGCCAAATACCATCCATTCACTCACTCATGACATTCAGACCTAATGTGCTTGTTTTTAGTGGTAGGGGAAACCGGAGCGCCTGGAGGAAACCTACGCAGACACTGGGAGAACATGCAAACTCCACTCAGAAAGGCCCTGGTCCGACCGGGATTCGTACGCAGGTCCTTATTGAGAAGCGAGAGTGCTAACCATTCAGCTCTATTAGCTTAGAGAGAGCTTCCACTGGCTCTATTAAACCCAGAGGCAAGGCAAGTTTATTGGTATAGCACATTTCAGACACACAGCAGCTCAAAGTGCTGAAAAAGAGAGACATCATCAATAACATCACAGTGCATTAACAAAGACTGAAGATACAGTCCTTCAGATGTTTGCACAGATCCACCTGGTTCCTTTTATAGTCCCTGCTTGGTCCGAGCTGGTGCTAAAGTGTCCTAACTGACTGTGATTGGACAGAGTGTTGCTGGTAGTCATGGTTACCAAGGATTGTTCCTGGATACTGGTTTGTTGTGGGAACGGTTGCCAGGATGGAGTAGAGTCGAGTCGAGTAGGGTAGGGTAGGGTGGGGTAGAGTAGAGTAAAGTAGGGTAGAGTAGGGAGGGTAAGGTAGGGTAGGGTAGGGTAGAGTCGAGTAGGGTAGGGTAGGGTGGGGTAGAGTAGAGTAAAGTAGGGTAGAGTAGGGAGGGTAAGGTAGGGTAGGGTAGGGTAGAGTCGAGTAGGGTAGGGTAGAGTAGGGTAGAGTAGAGTTGGGTAGAGTAGGGTGGGGTAGAGTAGAGTAGGGTAGAGTAGGGTGGGGTAGAGTAGAGTAGGGTAGAGTAGGGTGGGGTAGAGTAGAGTAGGGTAGAGTAGGGTAGGGTAGAGTAGAGTAGGGTAGAGTAGGGTGGGGTAGAGTAGAGTAGGGTAGAGTAGGGTGGGGTAGAGTAGAGTAGGGTAGAGTAGTGTAGTGTAGAGTAGGGAGGGTAGGGTAGGGGAGGGTAGGGTAGGGTTGGGTAGAGTAGGGTAGGGTAGGGTAGAGTAGAGTAGGGTAGAGTAGAGTAGAGTAGGGTAGGGTAGTGTAGTGTAGAGTAGGGAGGGTAGGGTAGGGGAGGGTAGGGTAGGGTTGGGTAGAGTAGAGTTGGGTAGAGTAGGGTGGGGTAGAGTAGAGTAGGGTAGAGTAGGGTGGGGTAGAGTAGAGTAGGGTAGAGTAGGGTGGGGTAGAGTAGAGTAGGGTAGAGTAGTGTAGTGTAGAGTAGGGAGGGTAGGGTAGGGGAGGGTAGGGTAGGGTTGGGTAGAGTAGGGTAGGGTAGGGTAGAGTAGAGTAGAGTAGGGTGGGGTAGGGTTGGGTAGAGTAGGGTAGGGTAGAGTAGAGTAGGGTGGGGTAGAGTAGAGTAGAGTAGAGTAGGGTGGGGTAGAGTAGAGTAGAGTAGAGTAGGGTGGGGTAGAGTAGGGTAGGGTAGAGTAGGGTAGGGTAGGGTAGAGTAGAGTAGGGTAGAGTAGAGTAGAGTAGAGTAGGGTGGGGTAGAGTAGGGTAGGGTAGAGTAGGGTAGGGTAGCGTAGAGTAGAGTAGCTCTGGGCTGCTCCCTGGACTCTGTGGAGGAGGTGAAGATCAGGAGAAGCCAAAGTCACCTCCATTATGGACAACACCTCCCACTGGACTGAGGAGGAGCTGAGGAGCTCCTTCAGTGCAAGAAGGAGCAGGGCCTTTATCCCCACTGCTGTCAGACTGTACAATAAGTCACTTTAAGTCACTAATGCACTTGGACTGAAGAACCAGCTGCTATTGCCACTCTATATATTTTTAACCTTTAACAAGTTTCACACTTCTGTCTTTTTCCACAATCTGAGAGATTCTATCTGTGCCAGACGTGACATGTACATTTCTTCAGTGTGAGTAATTATTAGAATACTTATATTTAATCTGTTTTATATATTTTTATTCTTTTTTACTTGGTGAAGCTAAGGATAAGTTGTTATTTATTTTATACCTTCTTGTGCAGCACTTTGGAAACGTAACTGTTGTTTAAATGTGCTATATAAATAAAGTGGATTGGATTATAGTAATTCTGTGGGTGTGGACGGTGCATGAACGCAGAGGGGTCCTGGTCCTGGTCCTGGTCCTGGTCCTGGTCGTGGTCGTGGTCGTGGTCTTGGTCTTGGTCTTGGTCTTGGTCTTGGTCCTGGTCCTGGTCCTGGATGGTCCTGGTCCTGGTCCTGGTCCTGGTCGTGGTCCTGGTCCTGGTCCTGGTCTTGGTCCTGGTCGTGGTCGTGGTCGTGGTCGTGGTCCTGGTCCTGGTCCTGGTCCTGGTCCTGGTCCTGGTCGTGGTCCTGGTCCTGGTCCTGGTCTTGGTCCTGGTCCTGGTGGTCCTGGTCCTGGTCCTGGTCCTGGTCCTGGTCGTGGGAGGCCACAGACTCTGATAATGGATCCAGGACTGAACCTCTCGCCGTCGTCTGTCGCTGGTCTCTCTCCTTCAACTCTTTTCTCACAAACTGTTTTTTGTGTCGAAAACATTCAAAACCATTCATTTTCATCTATTTGTTAGAGAAAAGCCGCGGCGTGTGACACTGATAAGAATCCGAGCTCGTTGGAGGTAATTCCTCACGTTAATTGGGAGTGATTTTGGGAGTCGACAGTTCTCTTTGCAGAGTGATGTCGCATAATTAGGAGTTGATTTGATGAATTAATTGTCATACTCCCGGTAAACATCACTTAATCCACTGTAATAAAGCGCGGCCGTGGCAGAAGCGTCCTCATTACCCGTGTTCAATAATGAATTTACCGTCGTGTCACGGTTGGGAAGATTTATTTGTTTTACAGTTTCAGCGTCAACATTTTATACATAAAACTTCAGTTCTTTAAGGCCTACAGTAGGCGCTGGTTACGGTTACGTTGGACCTACGCAGACACAGTTGGTGGTACACGGGCGCGTTCCCCTTGCAGAGTTTTGAAGAGAATGTTGTAATCCCACAACCAACCACATGATGGCGATCTCACAGGAGTTGCCTGAGAAACCCATGGGGAAACCAAAGCGGCCCCATTAACGCTGCTACTTTCTCCTCTTCAGAACAAAAACAAAGTGAAGCTGTTTGAGATCATTACATGTGTTTCTACTGTAGGTTTGTGTGACCGTTCTAAACTCATCGTTTCAACTCATTTAATGTGATGCTGTGAATTAAGACTCAGTTCTGTTGGAAACAGTTATTATTCAACTGTATTCAGGACAAACTAAAGATAAATTAACAATAACTTGATAATAAACTCAATAACTCAATAACTCGATACTAAAATAAAAAGAACATCTCTAACTTTAGCATAACAACGAAATATAACATTGTTAGCTTTAGCATAACAAAGACGCAAGCATACATCTCTAGCTTTAGCATAATAAAGAAGCTAGTATAAATCTCTAGCATTAGCATAATAAAGAAGCTAGTATAAATCTCTAGCATTAGCATAATAAAGAAGCTAGTATAAAATCTCTAGCTTTAGCATAATAAAGAAGCTAGTATAAATCACTAGCATTAGCATAATAAAGAAGCTAGTATAAAATCTCTAGCATTAGCATAATAAAGAAGCTAGTATAAATCTCTAGCATTAGCATAATAAAGAAGCTAGTATAAAATCTCTAGCTTTAGCATAATAAAGAAGCTAGTATAAATCACTAGCATTAGCATAATAAAGAAGCTAGTATAAATCTCTAGCATTAGCATAATAAAGAAGCTAGTATAAAATCTCTAGCTTTAGCATGATAAAGAAGATAGTATAAATCTCTAGCTTTAGCATAATAAAGAAGATAGTATAAATCACTAGCATTAGCATAATAAAGAAGCTAGTATAAATCTCTAGCTTTAGCATAATAAAGAAGCTAGTATAAATCACTAGCTTTAGCATAGTTTTGACCTTTTCTAATTCACAATAGCAGCTTCAAACCACACCATTCCGCCTGTAGCTCTCTAGTTTATCCAAATGACTGTAATATTAAAGTCTGATTGCACATTCACTCGGTAAAACCACCGCTGTAGCAGTTATTATCCACCATATTTGCAAAGTGTTATTTTCCTGCAGCTCCGTCCGTTGCCAGTCTACGCCCCCGAACGTTCCATAACTTTAAACCTGACTCTAATGTTCCCACAGTCGCCCGCCACGCCATTATTGTCAATCTCGTAGTGTTTTGCAGAGGTCGAAGGCAGGACACGCTTTACAAACCCCGCACCTGTATTCTCCCGTGGCGTTCTCCGACTCGGACGCCATAAAGCAGCCATCGTTCTCGGCTCCCAATTTCCCTGCTCGGCGACCGCGGCTCCATCTATCTCCTCTTAACGTCACTGATAGGTCGTTAAAGCGGGTCTGTGCTTGTGTACAGTAGGATGTGGGGTATTGTAGTCAGTGTATGTGTGCGTGTTTACAGTAGGATGTGGGGTATTGTAGTCAGTGTATGTGTGCGTGTTTACAGTAGGATGTGGGGTATTGTAGTCAGTGTATGTGTGCGTGTTTACAGTAGGATGTGGGGTATTGTAGTCAGTGTATGTGTGCGTGTTTACAGTAGGATGTGGGGTATTGTAGTCAGTGTATGTGTGTGTGTGTACAGTAGGATGTGGGGTATTGTAGTCAGTGTATGTGTGCGTGTTTACAGTAGGATGTGGGGTATTGTAGTCAGTGTATGTGTGTGTGTTTACAGTGGGATGTGGGGTATTGTAGTCAGTGTATGTGTGCGTGTTTACAGTAGGATGTGGGGTATTGTAGTCAGTGTATGTGTGCGTGTTTACAGTAGGATGTGGGGTAGTGTAGTCAGTGTATGTGTGCGTGTTTACAGTAGGATGTGGGGTATTGTAGTCAGTGTATGTGTGCGTGTTTACAGTAGGATGTGGGGTATTGTAGTCAGTGTATGTGTGCGTGTTTACAGTAGGATGTGGGGTATTGTAGTCAGTGTATGTGTGCGTGTTTACAGTAGGATGTGGGGTATTGTAGTCAGTGTATGTGTGTGTGTTTACAGTAGGATGTGGGGTATTGGATAGTGCTGATTGTGGCAGGACACGCTTTACAAACCCCGCACCTGTATTCTCCCGTGGCGTTCTCCGACTCGGACGCCATAAAGCAGCCATCGTTCTCGGCTCCCAATTTCCCTGCTCGGCGACCGCGGCTCCATCTATCTCCTCTTAACGTCACTGATAGGTCGTTAAAGCGGGTCTGGGAGCCGCGGAGTGAGGCCCTGAATCACGCTGGAACTTCCATCTGCTGGCACCTGTAATCTGGGGCAGAGGGCTCTCTCCGGCGCCGCTCTCTCACACATACGTTTATATCATAATTGGCACCGAGAGAGAGGCCTGAGTAAAAGAGTAAAAAAGGATTTGATAGCAGCGAGAGAGTGTGGGCCTCGAGAAGGAGCGCGAAGGTCCGGGAGAGTCTGTGGGACGTGTGTTTTTGCTCTAACACTTATTCTACTCAGATAAATGGTAGTTTAGATTCGTCTTGTCGCTGACTCAGCACAAAAACATGAGCGATACACTGCAAAAAGTGAGGAAAGTAAATTAAAAATGTCTGAAATTTGGTGAAAAATTGTGTTTCTGGTCTCTCTCTGGTCTCTGGACTCTCTCTAGTCTCTCTCTGGACTCTCTCTAGTCTCTCTCTGGACTCTCTCTAGTCTCTCTCTGGTCTCTCTCTATTCTCTCTCTAGTCTCTCTCTGGTCTCGCTCTGGTCCCTCTCTCTCTGGTCTCTCCCTAGTCTCTCTCTCTTCCTGGTCTCTCTCTGGTCTCTCTGGTCTCTCTCTGGTCTATCTCTGGTCTTTCTTGGGTCTCTTTCTGGTCTCTCCCTGGTCTCTCCCTGGTCTCTCTCTCTGGTCTCTCTCTATTCTCTCTCTAGTCTCTCTCTGGTCTCGCTCTGGTCCCTCTCTCTCTCTGGTCTCTCCCTGGTCTCTCTCTCTGGTCTCTCTCTATTCTCTCTCTAGTCTCTCTCTGGTCTCGCTCTGGTCCCTCTTTCTCTTCCTGCTCTCTCTCTGGTCTCTCTCTGGTCTATCTCTGGTCTTTCTTGGGTCTCTCTCTGGTCTCTCCCTGGTCTCTCCCTGGTCTCTCTGGTCTCTCTCTCTGGTCTCTATGGTCTCTCTCGGTTCACTCTCTCTGGTCTTTCTCTGGTCTTTCTCTGGTCTCTCTCTGGTCTCTCTCTGGTCTCTCTCTGGTCTCTCCCTGGTCTCTCCCTGGTCTCTCTGGTCTCTCTCTGGTCTCTCTCTGGTCTCTCTCTGGTCTCTCCCTGGTCTCTCCCTGGTCTCTCTTCATGTCCCCCTGGTCTCTCTCTCTTTTTGTCCCACAGTGGGGAAATGTCAGTGTTGCATCAGCAGTTACAGAGGAGCACACAGCACAAGATAAATGAACGATAACTCTGTACCAAAATAAGACAAATCAAATATCTAACTTTAGCACAATAAAGAAGCTAACAAAGAAGACTGTTTTGTTCTAGTGCGATAAATATATAGTTGTGTGTTTTGCTGCACATTCTGACATTATCAAAACGAGAGATTTATGTTCAGCATTTTCTCCACTCTGTGAAATAACTGTGGTTTAGTTCTTCCTTGTCCTGACTCAGCACACAAACGTGAACTGTGTGTGTGTGTGTGTGTGTGTGGGTGTGTGTGTGTGCGTGTTTGTGTGTGTATATATATTTATGTGGGTATTGTAGTCAGTGTATGTGTGTGTGTTTACAGTAGGATGTGGGGTATTGTAGTCAATGTATGTGTGTGTGTGTGTACAGTAGGATGTGGGGTATTGTAGTCAGTGTATGTGTGTGTGTGTGTACAGTAGGATGTGGGGTATTGTAGTCAGTGTATGTATTTGTGTGTACAGTAGGATGTGGGGTATTGTAGTCAGTGTATGTGTGTGTGTTTACAGTAGGATGTGGGGTATTGTAGTCAATGTATGTGTTTGTGTGTACAGTAGGCTGTGGGGTATTGTAGTCAGTGTATGTGTTTGTGTGTGTGTACAGTAGGATGTGGGGTATTGTAGTCAGTGTGTGTGTGTGTTTACAGTAGGATGTGGGGTATTGTAGTCAGTGTATGTATTTGTGTGTACAGTAGGATGTGGGGTATTGTAGTCAGTGTGTGTGTGTGTTTACAGTAGGATATGGGGTATTGTAGTCAGTGTATGTGTGTGTGTGTACAGTAGGATGTGGGGTATTGTAGTCAGTGTATGTGTGTGTGTTTACAGTAGGATGTGGGGTATTGTAGTCAATGTATGTGTTTGTGTTTACAGTAGGATGTGGGGTATTGTAGTCAGTGTATGTGTGTGTGTTTACAGTAGGATGTGGGGTATTGTAGTCAGTGTATGTGTGCGTGTTTACAGTAGGATGTGGGGTATTGTAGTCAGTGTATGTGTGCGTGTGTACAGTAGGATGTGGGGTATTGTAGTCAGTGTATGTGTGCGTGTTTACAGTAGGAGGTGGTATATTGTAGTCAGTGTAAGTGTGTTTGTGTGTGTGTTTAAAGTAGGATGTGGGGTATTGTAGTCAGTGTAGGTGTGCATGTTTAAAGTAGGATGTGGGGTATTGTAGTCAGTGTATGTGTGTGTGTTTACAGTAGGATGTGGGGTATTGTAGTCAGTGTATGTGTGCGTGTTTAAAGTAGGATGTGGGGTATTGTAGTCAGTGTATGTGTGCGTGTTTACAGTAGGATGTGGGGTATTGTAGTCAGTGTATGTGTGCGTGTTTACAGTAGGATGTGGGGTATTGTAGTCAGTGTATGTGTGCGTGTTTACAGTAGGAGGTGGTATATTGTAGTCAGTGTAAGTGTGTTTGTGTGTGTGTTTAAAGTAGGATGTGGGGTATTGTAGTCAGTGTAGGTGTGCATGTTTAAAGTAGGATGTGGGGTATTGTAGTCAGTGTATGTGTGTGTGTTTACAGTAGGATGTGGGGTATTGTAGTCAGTGTATGTGTGTGTGTTTACAGTAGTATGTGGGGTATTGTAGTCAATGTATGTGTGTGTGTGTGTGTACAGTAGGATGTGGGGTATTGTAGTCAGTGTATGTGTGTGTGTTTACATTAGGATGCGGGGTATTGTAGTCAGTGTATGTGTGTGTGTACAGTAGGATGTGGGGGGTATTGTAGGCAGTGTAAGTAGAATGTGGGGTATTGTAGTCAGTATAGGTTGTGCGTGTTTACAGTAGGATGTGGGGTATTGTAGTCAGTGTATGTGTGTGTGTTTACAGTAGGATGTGGGGTATTGTAGTCAGTGTATGTGTGTGTGTGTGTGCAGTAGGATGTGGGGTATTGTAGTCAGTGTAGTTGTGTGTGTTTCCAGTATGATGTGGGGTATTGTAGTCAGTGTATGTGTGTGTGTTTACAGTAGGATGTGGGGTATTGTAGTCAGTGCATGTGTGTGTGTTTACAGTAGGAAGTGGGGTATTGTAGTCAGTGTATGTGTGTGTGTTTACAGTAGGATGTGGGGTATTGTAGTCAGCGTATGTGTGTGTGTGTTTACAGTAGGATGTGGGGTATTGTAGTCAGTGTGTGTGTGTGTGTGTGCAGTAGGATGTGGGGTATTGTAGTCAGTGTATGTGTGCATGTTTACAGTAGGATGTGGGGTATTGTAGTCAGTATAGGTTGTGCGTGTTTACAGTAGGATGCGGGGTATTGTAGTCAGTGTATGTGTTTGTGTGTACAGTAAGATGTGGGGTATTGTAGTCAGTGTATGTGTGTGTTTTCAGTAGGATGTGGGGTATTGTAGTCAGTGTGTGTGTGTGTGTGTTTACAGTAGGATGTGGGGTATTGTAGTCAGTGTGTGTGTGCGTGTTTACAGTAGGATGCGGGGTATTGTAGTCAGTGTATGTGTTTGTGTGTACAGTAAGATGTGGGGTATTGTAGTCAGTGTATGTGTGTGTGTTTTCAGTAGGATGTGGGGTATTGTAGTCAGTGTGTGTGTGTGTGTTTACAGTAGGATGTGGGGTATTGTAGTCAGTGTGTGTGTGCGTGTTTACAGTAGGATGTGGGGTATTGTAGTCAGTGTAGGTTGTGCGTGTTTACAGTAGGATGTGGGGTATTGTAGTCAGTTTATGTGTGTGTTTACAGTAGGATGTGGGGTATTGGATAGTGCTGATCGGGGCATTAAAAAGCGCTGTAGTCGCCGTTGCCGCGGTGCAGACTGACGTTGTTGCTGACTCTGTTCAAACCAAGAACCAATCAATTTAGGAATATCCAGCTCTGAAGCAGGAGGTTTGTGGGTCTGCGACGCTGATGAGTTTATCATTCATTATTCTAACTATTTATGAATGCTGTTTATGATGCAGGGAAATATACACAGACTGTACCAAGTTTAATGTCTGAAGTTAAATATTTTATAAAACTATAAAAGGTCTTGTACTAGATTATACAGTAGTTTATAATAGCTTCTTTGTTATGCTGAAGCTAGATTTTTTCTTGTTTCTTTATTATGCTAAAGCTAGCGATTGTGGTTCTTCATTATGCTAAAGCTAGCGATTTTACACTTGCCCCTTTATCATCCTAAGTTAGCGATTGTATACTTAGAAGAAGCCTGTCTCACATTTTCACGAAGACTGTTCCAGCTGCTTAACTAAATATACCTTTTAAAATAACATTTGTGTCTGTGCAGTAGTTGCAGTTCTTATAATTAGGTTGTGGTGTGGTGTACTGTGCGGTCTCTGTCGCGGGCCACGGTCTGAGCTTCAGCCAACATCATCACAAGTTCTTTAGCTTTTGTTCTGTGGTTGATTGAAGAACACTCTGGATCCCTGCCGAGCGCTGTGTGGGTTTGACATTTGGATTTTAAATTCCATGGTTTTCCGTGTCCCGGGATCAGCGTGTACCAATCATAAGAAATGTTAGGATAAAAATGTCAGCGCTTATTTACTCAATTAACAAAAGAATGGACATGTTAAAATATCTGTCCTGAAAACACAACATTAAATCATCCACTGGCTTCAGTTTGTGTGTGTGTGTGTCTCTGTGTGTGTGTGTGTGTGTGTGTGTGTGTGTGTGTATATTGTGTGTGTCTGTATATCTTTGTGTATGTGTGCGTGTATCTTTTTGTGCATGTGTGTATTGTATGTACAGTACGTGTCTCTATATCTTTATGTGTGTGTTTGTGTGTGTGTGTGTGCATTCCTTGCCTTTATTTAGTTTTGGTCTCTCTGGTCTCTCTCTGGTCTCTTTCTAGTCTCTCTCTGGTCTCTTTCTAGTCTCTCTCTGGTCTCTCTCTGGTCTCTCTCTGATCCCTCTCTGGTCTCTCTCTGGTCTCTTTCTAGTCTCTCTCTGGTCTCTGTGTAGTCTCTCTCACTCTGGTCTATCGCTAGTTTCTCTCTGGTCTCTCTCTAGTCTCTCTTCAGTCTCTTTCTAGTCTCTCTCTGCTCTCTTTCTAGTCTCTCTCTGGTCTCTGTGTAGTCTCTCTCACTCTGGTCTATCGCTAGTTTCTCTCTGGTCTCTCTCTAGTCTCTCTTCAGTCTCTCTCTAGTCTCTCTCTGGTCTCTCTCTGGTCTCGCTCTGGTCTATCTTTAGTCTCTCTCTGGTCTCTCTCTAGTCTCTCTCTAGTCTCTCTCTGGTCTCTCTCTGGTCTATCTCTAGTCTCTCTCTGGTCTCTCTCTAGTCTCTCTTTAGTCTCTCTCTAGTCTCTCTTTAGTCTCTCTGGTCTCTCTCTGGTCTCTCTCTGCTCTCTCTCTAGTCTTTCTCTGGTCTCTCTCTAGTCTCTCTTTAGTCTCTCTCTGGTCTCTCTCTAGTCTCTCTCTAGTCTCTCCCTGGTCTCTCACTAGCCTCTCTCTGGCCTCTCTGGTCTCTCTCTGGTCTCTCTCTAGTCTCTCTCTGGTCTCTCTCTGGTCTATCTCTAGTCTCTCTCTGGTCTCTTTCTAGTCTCTCTCGCTGGTCTCTCCTTGTTCTCTCTCTTTGGTTTCTCTCTATGGTCTCTCTCGTATATTTTAAAGTTAGCACAAACCTGAACTTGCAGAGAAAAACTTCTGTCGTGAGAAAAAAAAGCTTTCAGCTCGAGCACGCCACCGTTCACAAAGTGTTGGGCTGTTGTGTAACTGTTGTGTAACTAGTGTGTAACTGTTGTGTAACTGGTGTGTGTGGAGGAAACAGAGCTGTCCACATGGTGCCTCCTCCAGCATCAAATACCAGGTGACATCAGCAGCTGACAGCTCTCCTGGTGTGTGGAGAGAATGGAACAACTATCTGAACTCCGAAGTGCTTTGGGTGACCTTGGTCTGTGAAATGCGCTATATAAATAAACATTACTTACTCCTACACATCTCCATCTTTGTCTGACGTCATCATTTATGCTTTGAGAACAGCACCGAGGTCCACTGGTCTGAGTACCTGGTCTGGCTCCTTGGTCTGGCTCCTTGGTCTGGCTTCCTGGTCTGGCCCCTGGTCTGGCTCTCTTCTAGTCTCTCTGTGGCTCTTCTAGTCTCTCTGTGGCTCTTCCAGTTTCTCTGTGGCTCTTCCAGTCTCTCTGTGGCTCTTCTAGTCTCTCCGTGGCTCTTCTAGTCTCTCTGTGGCTCTTCCAGTTTCTCTGTGGCTCTTCCAGTCTCTCTGTGGCTCTTCTAGTCTCTCCGTGGCTCTTCTAGTCTCTCTGTGGCTCTTCCAGTCTCTCTGTGGCTCTTCTAGTCTCTCTGTGGCTCTTCTAGTCTCTCTGTGACTCTTCTAGTCTCTCCGTGGCTCTTCTAGTCTCTCTGTGGCTCTTCTAGTCTCTCTGTGGCTCTTCCAGTCTCTCTGTGGCTCTTCTAGTCTCTCTGTGGCTCTTCTAGTCTCTCTGTGACTCTTCTAGTCTCTCCGTGGCTCTTCTAGTCTCTCTGTGGCTCTTCTAGTCTCTCTGTTGCTCTTCCAGTCTCTCTGTGGCTCTTCTAGTCTCTCTGGCTCTTCTAGTCCTTCTGTGGCTCTTTTATTCTTCCTGTGGCTCTTCTAGTCTCTCTGTGGCTCTTCTAGTCTCTCTCTGGCTCTTCCAGTCTCTCTGTGGCTCTTCTAGTCTCTCTGGCTCTTCTAGTCTTTCTGTGGCTCTTTTATTCTCCCTGTGGCTCTTCTAGTCTCTCTCTGGCTCTTCCAGTCTCTCTGTGGCTCTTCCAGTCTATCTCTGTGGCTCTTCTAGTCTCTCTGGGGCTCTTCCAGTCTCTCTGTGGCTCTTAGTCTCTCTGTGGCTCTTCTAGTCTCTCTGTGGCTCTTCTAGTCTCTCTGTGGCTCTTCTAGTCTCTCTGTGGCTCTTCCAGTCTCTCTCTGGCTCTTCTAGTTCCTCCTGTTTGAAGTGGAGCTGATGATCCATTGTTCTGTGATATTTTGTTCTTCTGATGTCAAACGTTCAAACTTAGGCACAAAAAAAGACAGGATTCACCAAAAAAATATGTTGTTTGTTGCAGTTTTTAAGATAAATAAAATAAACTTTATTGATCCCGAAGGAAATGACAGTGTTGCCGGCTGCTCTCATTCACACAGTCACAGGTACATGATACATTAAGTGCTAAAATATGATCAAAAATTGTACGTTTTATGTGGATTTTTATAGATTTATGGATCAAATCTTGTCTTTCTCTTCATTGTCAGAGGAAAAATCTCCAGTCTGAATCCTTTTGTAGCGTGATGTGCCAGACATGTGCATTCACAGTCTCACTACGTCCACCTGTGAAGACTTGGTGCTGTACAAAAATAAATTCAATTCCATATTTGAGCGTGTTGTTTGGGGATAAAACTGGTCTATCGTGTTCTCTCTCTCTCTCCGTCGTCCTCACTTGTTTAGTTTAGTTTAGTTTACTTTATTTATTTGATCAGGGACAATGCACAAACAACATTAGTCGGGCGGCACGGTGGCTGAGTGGATAGCACTCTCGCCTCTCAGCAAGAAGGTCCTGGGTTCGAATCCCGGTTGGACCAGGGCCTTTCTGAGTGGAGTTTGCATGTTCTCCCTGTGTCTGCGTAGGTTTCCTCCGGGTGCTCCGGTTTCCCCTACCACTAAAAATATGTACAATAGGTCTGTGCATGTGCCTCCTGTACTGGCCCCGCTCCCAAAAATAACAATTGTAAACCGCTTTGAGACTCAGATCTGCAGTGAAAAGGCGGTATATAAATAAAGCTTACTTACTTACTTACTTGTTTTGTTTCCTCGCTCCGCAGGGAATTTGCACGTTGGAAGGTGAGGAACACAGCCATCGAGAGGCGGGACTTGATCCAGAACCCGGTGCCGCTGATGCCAGAGTTCCAGCGCAGCGTGCGTTTGCTCGGCCGCAGACCGACCACGCAGCAGTTCATCGAAACCATCATCAAGAAGTATGGAACTCACATCCTCATCTCCGCCACGCTGGGAGGTAAGAGGCCCACACTGCCACAGAGTATTAGAGTACCGTCATTTGAGTACTTGCTGATACCGAGTACAGATACGAGTAATGCACGTAGACTGTAAATATTACTGCTTTGTATTATCTCTGGGAATTCATAAAACTAATACAACTGGAATTTTAAATGTTTTATTCCTCATTTCAATAATAAGAAAATGCTTTAACAACCAAACATTTTAGCGATTGTTTTTCACAGTCGACAATAAGAGCCACTGTAATATTCACTCATACGAATGCTAGCACCGGAGCAAAGAATTAGCTCCGGTGCTAGCAAAGGTGCTATACTCTGCATGAGTTTTCAGATGTTTTAATAAGTTGCAGGTGTTGTACGTGTTTGTTTTGGATCTACCTTGTGACAGTTTTGCCACAACATAAAGTCTACTTTACTCGTCACTCTTGTTTACTTTGAGAATTTGCCATACGACTAGCTTGCTTGCCGCTAGCTTGCCGGTAGCTTGCGTGTCGCTAACTTGCTTGCCATTAGTTTTTCTTTCGAGCTGCCGTCTTTGGGAGATCACCATCGCAAAACGTGCCGCAGTCTGCTGTTGTGACGCTGATGTAAATTAAGAAATATGGGTATCGGTTTTGGGTCCTCTGATATGAGTACGAGCACAAGCCAATGGTATTGACCTGATACCCGCAGGACTGACACAGGCCCACATCCTGACCATACACCCTACATGAGGAGAGGACTGACACAGGCCCACATCCTGACCATACACCCTACATGAGGAGAGGACTGACACAGGCCCACATCCTGACCATACACCCTACATGAGGAGAGGACTGACACAGGCCCACATCCTGACCATACACCCTACATGAGGAGAGGACTGACACAGGCCCACATCCTGACCATACACCCTACATGAGGAGAGGACTGACACAGGCCCACATCCTGACCATACACCCTACATGAGGAGAGGACTGACACAGGCCCACATCCTGACCATACACCCTCTGGGGCTTCTGGTACTGATGCTAAGCTAGCTTTTCTTATTTGGGCTTTTCTACCACTGCGCTAGCTTATTGCCATAACAGGGGCAGGCGTGTTGCTAAGGCGGTTGCTAAGGAAAGCTGGATTGGAAGAAGACCACAGCTGCAGGTGAAACGTCTGAATCCAAGCAGGGCAGGGCCTGGTTAGTACTGTGATGGGAGACCTCTGGGAACACCTGGTGCCACAGTGACACTTCCCCCACATCAGAATGAGTCTGGTGTGTGTGTGAATGGTTGGTGGTGGTGGGAGGGGCCGATGGCACAGACTGGTTGCCTCGCTTCTGTCAGTGTGCCCCAGGGCAGCTGTGGCTACCGTAGTAGTTTACCACCACAATGTTTGGAGTTAAAGAATAATGATGTGAAGAGACTTTGAGAGTCCAAAAAATCTCTATATAATCTGTTGTATTATTATTTTTTAGACATTTTTACATTTTACTTTTACTACAAGAAAAAGTGAAGTACTACAGCTTTTAATATAATTGGTTTGGTTGAGAAAGAAGGTCAGGGAGAACTATACTGGAGAATGAGCAGAAACTACGGCACATCTGTTTGTATTTCCAAACAGGTGCTGTACTCCTACAGTGAAGAACATGTACCAGAGAAACACCATTATTACTCAACACACATTCTGACTCTGTGCTGTTGTTTGCAGCTCGAGATAAAAGCACAGTCGTACAACAGTCTGCAAAGTTAAACCCACGCACATATCGCTAACTAAAGCAGTTTTTTGCCCACACAGCGACATGCCTTCACTTTACTTAACTGTGCAATAATATCAACATAGAAGCACATGGGTCACTGTCACTTTAAATCTGGAAAGACTCGAGTCAAGATTGCATGTATAGACACCAGCAGACACATTGATTGGTACTAATACATCTATACCGCATTCGAACATTACATTATTTTCTTAAGATTTTGCGATAAGACTCTGGCAAGAATACTGCATGACGTGATGATCTTATGAACCCCGGGGCCTAGAGCCTGGTGGCAAAGAAGCTGAGCTGAAGACATGATGCTCCACAGAAGAGGCGGTGATGGGGAGGAGGTGGGTTGCTGCTCGAACAGAAGCTTGAAGCTGCAAAGAACTGAGAGGCTCTGTTTAAATGGAAGTCAGTGTGGTAGGCATAAGGTCTCTTTCGGTCTCTCCGTCTGAATTTAAGATTAAGATTAAGTGATCCTTTATTTGTCACACAGTGGGGAAATTTCAGTGTTGCGTCACAAGTTGTTGAACAGTGGGAAAGAGGAGCACACGGCACAAGATAAGATACGTAAACAATAGCTATACTAATTAAAATAAAACAAAATCTCTAACTCTAGCATAAATAATTACGCTTAAAGTGATTATCTGGAGTTTGTCAGAAAGAGAGACAGAAAGGTACTTGATTTGAAAAAAAACGACGCAAGCTCCTCCCCCTTCCTTTCTGATTGGTCTACACCTACGTTTCCGTAACACTTTTAAATGTTAATCAGAGAACATATTATACATATACATTATTAATACACATGCACCGAGGTTTTCCGAATTATTTTTTTACGTTTTAATGAAAAAATCATGTTTTTATGCACAAAAAAAGCGATCGCGGCAAACCAGGAAGTGCTATTATCATGAATTGCACATTATAGGACACATCTGCAGAGGATCTGATTATATAAATGATTATGGATATAGGTTTAGTATATAAATGATTATGGATATAGGTTTAGTATATAAATGATTATGGATATAGGTTTAGTATATAAATGATTATGGATATAGGTTCAGTATATAAATGATTATGGATATAGGTTTAGTATATAAATGATTATGATATAGGTTCAGTATATAAATGATTATAGATATAGGTCCAGACTAGGGATGTAAATCGGTGACCGGTTAACCGGTGGTTGACCGTCACAGCGTTAACCGGTCAAAGCTGTCGGTTAAAAATAAGAAAAAGCGGAGAGGGGCGGTCTCTTAATAAGGATATTTTAAGCCCTATTTGTACGATGTGACGAGCGGGTCCGTATCTAGCTGTGTGCGCCAATGCATTAGTAGACTACGGGCGACTTTCATGGCGCACGCTCCACATATGCACACACGCGCACACGCACGCGCGCACACACACACACACACACACTTTCCCCCTCTCCATACGTAACATCCACACGCATCATCTCTCCCCTCTGTTACCGCCAAAGTTCCACACTAGTGCAGGTCAGAACTACATTGGAGCTTATATTTACACACACACACATATACATGTATTGTACACACACACAGACATATACACACATACATACATGTATTGTACACACACACATACCGGTCTGTCTCGCAGCCCAAAGAATCCTCGCGGCCCCAGTCAAACACATGAAACCTGTTTGTGCTGCTGGTCCTTGTCATTAGATCAGATCCACACACATCACTTTTAAACTTTAGCGGAGACCTGCGAGACGCGGCGTGTAACTCGCTGCTCTGACCATGTGAACAAGCCGTCAAAACTCTGGCGCCTAAAGGGTTAACCCGCAGCACAGAATGGGAAGATTACAACAGCAGTTCTCTGTGCGCAAAGGTGCCGAAGCTGTTGCGGGTTTGGGCGCCGCTGTCTCGGCTCTGATCCAGTAGAACGCAGAGCTGCACTTATGGAAAGTACGCGGCTCGAAATGGCTGTTATTTCAAAGAACGTGGACTATTTTAAACTACGCGGTTAACCGGTTTTAACCGGTTAATGAGGCTCGGTGGTCGGTCATGAAAATGCATAGTTTTTTACATCCCTAGTCCAGACCCTAATAGAGTCTTGATTCAGAGGCTCCGCTAAAACAAACAACTGAGCATGAGCAGCTACAAACATCAGCGCTGATGATTGACAGCTCTTGGCATGACTCGATTGGTTAACCTCGACGGCACCGTGGATTCTGAGCTATAGCTAAGAGAAGGGAAGGCGGGACTTGCCCGTAATATTAGAATTAATAAAATGACTTATTGTATATCAACATTTAAGGTCAGGAGGTCAATTTAACAAATTTCATTTAGAGTTACAGACTACCACTTTAAGCTTCATATTTCTTGCATTAGAAAATACAGTATTTTACAATTGCTTCTATTTAATTTATACTTAATTCTTGCTTAAATACACATTTTGTCCACTGATCGGCTGCACTGGAATCTAAGCTGAAGGTTTTCCTGTTGTGATGTAAATACACAAGAGACAAAGAAGCCTAATGTCCATAAATGTCCCCTATCTACTGTCCTTACATTTTCGAAATGATCTCTTTCTGATAATACAATTCTCATTATTTTTGGTTAACAAAACCTAAAGTGTGAACTCTTTGGTGAATTCTATTGTTGTGTTCTTTGGCAAAACACCTCCTCCCCATGTGTGAATGCAATCCTTACCGAGCTTTGTAACCCAAAACATTTACATTTACAGGTGCGGTGTACGGTTGTTGGAACAGTCTTAATCGGGGACACTCAACTCTAAGGGAGTAGTAACAAATATTTCTCAAAAGAGTCTTTGACAGCGCTTCTTCTTCTACTATATCTCCGTGTATAAACCGCTTCTTCTTCTACTATATCTCCGTGTATAAACCCGACAGACTGCACCGCCAGGATACGTCACGTCCTGTCCTACGTTTGTTATTCGCTCCACTGCCCTGACGTCATAGGACACCCAAGAATTCTTGCCCTACATCCTTACTTTCTCTCTCTCGTCACCGTTCCCATGACGACACCAGAACCTCGTCTCTAAAGTAAACTCTCTTCACACCGTGTAAAATGCCAAACTTGTCGTAATATCTCTCTCGCGGTCATAAACAAACTTCTCGTGGTTATTCCGCCGGTGTTTGTAAACACCTGTTGTCATGACGACGTGATTTCCTCTCGTTTCCGTCTCTCCTCTGAAGTTAAACGCCTCCGATACGCTCTCGTAATGAACCAGCAATCTCATCCGGCCAATCAAATGCCGTCGCTCCTCCTGCAACAGACGCTTTTTAACTACTCCTTCTGTTCCATTTATTACCGGCAGCTTCCAACTCAGTCCCAGGTAATTGTTATCAGAAAAGCAGACTTTTTGGTCTTTCTCTGGCGTCTCTTTCTGGTCTCTCTTTCTCTCTGGTCTCTCTCTCCGGCCTATCTCTTTGGTTTCTGGTCTCTCTCTCTCTCTGGTCTCTCTCTCGTTTCTCTCTCTCTGGCCTCTCTGTGGTCTCTCTGGTTCTTCTCTCTCTCTGGTGTCTCTCTCTGGCCTCTCCTCATGGTCTCTCTCTCTGAACTCTCTCTCTTTGGTCTCTATCTCTCTGGTATCTCTCTGCTCTCTCTAGTCTCTCTCTGGTCTCTCTCTGGTCTCTCTCTTGTTTCTCTCTCTCTGGTCTCTCTCCAGCCTATCTCTTTGGTTTCTTGTCTCTCTCTCTCTGGTCTCTCTTTCTGGTCTATCTCCAGCCTATCTCTTTGGTTTCTGGTATCTCTCTCTCCGGTCTCTCTCTCTGGTCTCTCTAGTCTCTCTCTGGTCTCTCTCTGGTTTCTCTCTCTCTGGTCTCTCTTTCTGGTCTCTCTCCGGCCTATCTCTTTGGTTTCTGGTCTCTCTCTCTCTGGTCTCTCTCTCTGGTCTGTCTTTCTGGTCTCTCTTCGGCCTATCTCTTTGGTTTCTGGTCCCTCTCTCTCTGGTCTCTCTCTCTGGTCTGTCTTTCTGGTCTCTCTCCAGCCTCTCTCC